CACAAGACTAAATATTATTTATACTGGATATTGCCCACCTGCCTGGTTTCGATAACTGCATAAATGCAGGCTTCCCTAATTGGAATTATATATTGTTTTCGAGAGCATTTACGGGACGTCTCTTGACTATCTTGCCTAATTTTTAAAAGTTAACGTTGAAGACGCACAAGTCTTCTCTGCGCGTCTGTCTTATGACTTGATTAAAAGCGTCTCAATTATTTCTTATTAGCAGTCTTTTAGTCCAATTATGCCCTGTCAAATTCTGAGTGAAACAAAACAGTCGCTCGTGTTCCCCCTAAGGCGCCAGTAATCGCCTGTTGTACAGATTTTCTGAGAATTTTTCTGAGCACCAAGATAATTGCCTGTACTTTTAACTAAATTGCTTCTAGTTAAAGCAACTGTTGCAAATGGAAAAATTCCAGTATTTTCCATTTAGTTTGGATTTTTTTGCGTGGGTTTTGTAAATAATTCTATGGAAGAACCTTCAGTGTCTTTCTCTTTGCAAAACTCTTCCGGGTATTTCGATAGACGATTTTTTGTTATTACAACAACACTAAAAGGTTCAGAACAATACATAGAACATGGTTTCCCGGTTTGTCTCCGGTCAGCAGTGCACATCATGGAAATAGTACAGCTTTGTTTTCACAGCGGGAGATTATGTCATTAGTAACCTCCGATGATGCAATAAGGTGCGAATAAGTTGTGCCACCTGCGTGTAAGGGTATTCATGGTATTCTACTTGCAGGAACTCATCAAGACCCCAAAATAAAGGAATATTTCTTCACATCTACATGGACTCCAGCACTCACGCTTACACACGCGCGCGAGCGTTATGATATACTAGTAGGTGTCCTGTGCTTGATCAATTTCATAACCGAGGATATTAGTCTATTGTTTATATTATATTCAATGTAAATTATACCCTGCTGTAAAATAATTATTGATTTGCGATGTTATTAAACCTTGTCTTATTCCGAAAGAGCAGGCAACAGATGAGACGCAGACAACTTTCGATCAATCATTAGTCTCAGTTTAGAATTACCTCGGGATATCCCTTTTTTTCCAACCACCTAATCCCCCTTCCGCCTATCTCCCCTGAGATAGATGGACGGTGAGAGAGAGTGAGAGAGAGAGAGAGAGTGAGAGAGTGCTCAAATACAAGTTTTAGGGCGCTTTCATTTCACCACCTTCGATGACTATTCAACAGTGTATTTCACTTTTTGTTTACTAATTTATACGCAAACGCACGTGCAGACTGCGGATTGTGATGCGTTCAGAGCTTGCTTCCCATTACGTCACTGTCTGATCAATTATCGAATTAAACAATTATCTATTTTTAACATTTTAAATTGGCTATAAATGTTGCCCTTCTAAAAATATGTTGTGTTTCATGTTCCGTCTAAGTTTATATCGACGTCAGGAAGTTATAAAATTGATTAAGATAAGAACAACAACTGTGATTTTGATTGCTTTCTTCAAAAATAGAGAAAGAGAGAGAGAGAGAGGGAGAGAGAGAGAGGGGTGGACCAATATTTCAAATAACTGATTGTACTGACTCTAAAATAACGTCTACGACCCGAAGAAAAACACAACGAAATCTTGTACGTGCGATTGGAAAAGAAAGAATCGACCCTACGGGAATATGAATATTGATTACCACACTGCAAAACATATTATTACATAACCAATCACTCCCAAGATATCAAAAAACTTTAAAAGTTACCAATCATCTGGAGAGGAAATCATGTCGCCGCCGAAGTACATGTAGCTGACGGTCCGTGAAACAGAGAGTCTGCCCTCCATTCGTTTTATAAATGTTAGGGTTAACCTGACTTAGTGGATCGAAATGCAGGACAGGGTTTACCTGTGCAAGCCAATGGGCACTGGCCCCTGTATCCCACAATACTCTCTAGTACACGGGACCGGGCTTCTCTCTGATCCACAGAATTGATTGCTTAGTTTAAATACCGAAGTGTATAGCATCTCCTGGGTATCCTAATACCCGCAATTGAAAATAAATCATCTAGCTTTTGCTTCAGTTCACCCAAACGTTTGAATTATTTAACCCTCCAACCGTCAACGTGCCAAAAATAGCAATTTGGCACGGACAAAAATGGCAAAAATCAATTATTGAGTGGAAGCCGGGAATCACAGCAAGACTGTGATTGATTTTAACGATCATGCAAAAACTTATATTATGAAGACATGAGAGAGTAAATTTGACGACACGTCATGAGAAGTCACGAATCAAAATAAAAGTAAAATAAATTCAATTTAATAGTGCAGATCATGCTGCGCTGTTCATTTTGGGAAACAACTACAAACATCAAAAACTTGAACAGAATTGTAGATTTGGATTAGCAATTTACACCAAGGAAAGCCGTGTATACTTTTTCTCTTTCGAAGATAAATCTAATTTAGAAGTACTGAGAGAGAGAAAGAGAGAGGCGTGATGAAAAAAACATTGAGATGAAAGACCAGCCAATAATCGGCGCCCTTGAGCAATGTCAGATTCTTTCTCATGAGTCCCTAGATCAGCCCGTAATCCTGGTGCTTAATATCTGATGCTTAATCTTACTTCCTTATTGACAGTTAATACCTTCCACTGTCCCTTAAATTCTCATAGTTTCCTCTTTGGATGAAAATTTGATCGATTACTGGAAATAACAATTGGCTTGCAGTGGCGTTCAACCAGCTAATGGCTAGTTACGGGAAAAAGCACGCATAATTTTCCCCTTTTATTTCATTAAAATATAATTTTGAAGTAATTGCCTTATTACGATACCAAGCAAGCGATCGTTGTATATGAGAGACGGAGAGAGAGGGAGAGACTCACTATTCAATATTGAATAAGACCAAATGAGCCCCATATTAATTTTCAGTAAAAAAATATTAAAATATTTAATGCCGCCGGGTACTACCTGAAACTACCTGTCATTTTAATTTAATTAGAATAAGCTGGTTCGGCAAATCTAATAATAAACGAAATCAGAATATCTTCCTGTTATTTATTTTCGAACTTCTTCTAGGACGCCAGTCTGATAAATGTTAACCAGAAGTGTTATGCCACTTTTAATAAAACAAACAGCTAAAACTTTAATGTAAATTTTGGTTTTTATGAAATATCCGCTGAGCTGGTTTTGCTTGGCAAAGTCCCATTGAACATTTATAATCTACCGGCACAGGTGGGGCTTACGGAGAAAGATTGATAACTTTGATTTATCAACATTGGGATTCTGTTACTCACGCTACTGCAAGTTAACGATTTATTTTGAAAACACTTGGCACGTGAGGATAAACTCAAGCCAAAACTGGCACAAGGACTCAATCTTATCCACATATTTGCACTCACCGGTGTAGCAAATGAGGATCTGGACTCGTACATACGTCCGTGTGCACAAATTTCTGTGAAGCGCACACATGCATCAACTCTCTCCCTCTCTCTCTCTTTTTTTTTTATCTCACAAGCAGACACTCACACAGATGGGATTTCTCTTTTCACATTTGAACACGCGCTTTACTTTTTAGTTGAAGGGGCGTAGAAATTAGTTTCTCATTAAAGTGACGCTTATGAATTATGTAGCGGACATGCACGAAGGAGAATATCGTTTGACATATCTATTAAATAGACTATTATTCAAAGTGATAAGTACGTGTTGTGTGCAATAGCGTAGTATGATGGGATGGATTATTTCTATTCATATAAAAAGTCATAAGTGTATTTCCTCTGGTCTAAATGAATTCTTCATTTGAAAGTGATCGATATTTTTTTAAATATCAAACCGATATGGAAATATGTGTACCCACTAATTGGCTACTAAGTACATACTAAGTATGTCATTTAATATGTAGATGACTACGCACGGAGTATTTTAATCAAAATGTGTATTATTTATGAACAAATCTTACTTCCTCATTCGTTGTGAAATATTACGACTTTGCGTTCGTTCATTTAAAGCCTGTGGTTAACATTTAATGACATTTGTCACCCAGTACTCTAGCTATTCAGACTAGGAGGGGTTTTTTTCTAGCAAGTACACGATTGACGACCCAGAGTCTATTCAACTTCTTTGTAATTGTCTTCAGGAAGCCACTTTCACCTACATGGTTGCCATCCAGTAGAGGTCGCTTAGTACAAACGGGCCAATTTTGTTTTACCCTTCTTTGTAGCGATTGAAGACAAGTGATTACCACAGAATGGGGCCATATATCTTTCTGAAATACGATATGATATGAATGATATACTGTAACAATTTATATACCTATCTCCACGGGTGTCCATTTAAAGTACCACTCTTCAGACAACGTTCTGATATATGTTTAATTCCGTCACAGGAATCCGCAAAGACCTCTAACTGTGCACTCATTAACCGGAAAATTCAGTGACAAGAATAATTTTGCTCGACAAGATTTGGTTCATAAGTAGGAGACTGCGATTACACTCATACATCTTATCTTCTAAATTGTATTATTTTATCTGTCCTTGTGTTGATTGAATCATTAACTACAAAATCAAATCACCTACTACGATACTTCAAAGAGTTAAAAAAATATTTGAATTTTTTTAAACACCATTTCCCAGTATAACATTTCAAATGGGGGAAGTTTTCAAAATTTTAATCACCCAGTACCATGAGACAGGTCCAGAAAAAATTGATCGGCATTTTGCCAACATTACAAACACATGTACTTATTGAGCGGGCGTTCACCCTCAACTGATTGAATTTTTCTCACGCGAAGCGGAACTCCTTGATATGAATTTGATGTAATAGTCCACAGCGGTCATTATGATATACATTCAGGTTGCGCTTACATAACCCGCTCAGGTTTAAGTCGTGATAAAATAAGCGTGATAAATGGGATTGAAGTTAAAGTTAAGATAAAAACAGAAGGATAATGTGATCTCTCACACCTGAGATTACAGAACAAAAGCGAACATGTGTAATCAAAAACTATTTATTTGACAAATGAGAACAATATCAATATAAACAAATGTTTACCGTAACGTATAAAGATTGTCTCGAGCACGCACTCCATTCATCCATGCATTTTCATACCGTACCGTTCTCAGACATAAATTACATGCTCACTTTGTTATCTTAACCACGGTCAGTGATTTCAATTCTAAGTTCAATGAGCCTTAACGAAATTAGCACCTATATTCAACGTATACATACCCTGCAGAGGTAAAGGGATAGATTTGAAACATGCATACGAACACATTATATATCAATCAATATTTACAAAATATATGCAGGATGAAGTTACGTAATCAATAATAAAAGGGATAAAGAACTCGAAAAAGATTAACCTTTCTTAAGATACCAGCAAATCTCACCGAAGTGAATCTGAGTGGGAATCCCACTTACACCTGACTCTTCTCTTATTACTATGTAACAGAAACCCGTGCATGTTCCTTCACTATTCCTTTCGACAGAATTCAGCTTTTGATCTTGCACGTTTAAGGTTTCACTCTTGACTTCACAGCAAGTCGGACGTATCCAGTCACTCTCATATGAAACTAGAGAAAAAAGGTCAATACATAGAACATCGGAAATGCTTGCGAGTCTTGTTCACTTGTCAGAGAGTCTAACAATGACAAATATATAAAAGGCCTGGGGACCAAACTTTCACGCGGCTGTCGAGATGCTGACGGCAGCTGCTTTCTCGCTCGTCTCCACCATTATGATTTATAAATATGATATTACAGAATGTCATGATTAATTGCAGACTTATATAATTTGTTTTCCAAGGCCCGCCGGAAATACGCACCCTTTGGTAAATTATGGCATCCATCATATTGGTTTTAGAAAACGACCACTTCACCATGTTAAATGTTACATTGAATTGTAAATCAAACTAAATTCAAATAAATCGAAATTAAACACTGACCGGGTATCTATTGCACAAATGCCATTGAAAAGAAACACTTTGAAACTGCCAATCATCCAATAAAGAAATGAACACCATCCCCTTTAGTTCTAGTTATGTTATCAGCGCCTTCGGCCAAGTTTGACAAACTTGTACCTGATGAAGGGGATGCCATGGTCTTCATTTCTGTGTCTAACATTTCAGTCGTTGTTTTGTGATTACGTGTTTCCTGATTGTTGCAGTTTTCGACAGGTTCGTGGTGTTCGCTCGTTTGTCTGCCGTCTGTGTGATTGTCAAGCAAACTAATAGTAACAGCTTTCTTCATTTTTTCGTTGCCTGATGAAGTTGTAGACGATGAGTCAGATCGGTTGATGGTAGAACTTGCTGAAAATGACCGAACCTTCAAACAATTCTGTTTTGTATCAACTCCTTGTAAAGCCTCTCTGTCTTTGGTTTCTTTAAAGCTAATGACACTTTTATTCCTTTGGTTATCTCTAAAATGCGATCGATCTTTCATGCACTTCCATTTTTTCCATAATCTCCGTAACTCCTTTTGAATCACTCTATTCCTGAAAACGTACACTATGGGATTGAGTGCACACGACGTAAAAGCCAGCCAAATGGACAAAACTTCCACCAAAGAAGGTATACTTGAGGGGTCCGACATAGTCGACTCGAGGACAATAATTATGAAATATGGTACCCAGCATATACAAAATGTCGACATCACGATCATGCCAGTTTTTGCTGCTTTACGATCATCTTTGTGAAAGAGCGAAATACTGCGGCTTAGAATGCTGCTTCGCCGTCGAAGCCCGTTGTTGCCAGCAACACCCTGAGCGCTCCCCCTCCTCGATCCCTCCCGGGGTAAGAGATCGTCGCTACTGAGCTCGGGTTGAACGCTATTTCGCCTTGCCCGCGCGCTCGTTTTCTGAGCTGCTCGAAATACAGTGATGTAAACCCATAATGTTATTAGAAAAGGAATGATAAAACATAATACTGATAAAAATATTGTGTAAAATTTGTCCTTTAAGACTTGTGTTCGCCACTTGACAGTGCAGAGACATTTGTGCTTTTGGAATTCGATGTAGTTCCATCCGAACAGTGGTGGGATTGCAAATAAGCTAGCCAGAATCCATACCGCGCAGATCATGAGATTGGCACGCAGTGTCGTGAACCTCATAGAATAATGCAGCGGTGAAGTAATAGCTGAGTATCTGTCCACCGATATGAGCAACAGAGTAAGAATACACGCGGCGAAAAGCAGCGTGTTCGACACCCCCGTGACCTGGCACCAGAGGTTGCCAAAAACCCATTCCTGGGTCCACGCTGATGTCAATGCAAACGGCATTACGAGAAGTCCCATCAGAAAGTCACCCGCAGCCAGATTCAATATAAACCGATTCGATATAGTCAACAATGCCGACCGGCGCTTGTAAAATACTGCAAACACTAAAAGGTTGCTGCAGATTGTGACTAGAAAAACCACTGACATTAATGTTACTGTTATGGCTATTTTCACGGGGTCATCTTCGACACCACCGATCACTGCCATTTTCCCATTGTAGTCTGCTGCCACTATATTTTTAGAGAGGTTTGTCTCCAGTCCACTCACTATGGAAAGATTGCTTGCATGAGCAGCTGGCATGTTGTAAGTGTCAAACATTTGTCCAGCTACCTCACGATTTTCTTCAGAAACATGAATATTTTAACACGCACCTAGTCCTTTTAAACATGTCCAGAGACTGTTCCGAGAATTGATTTTGTCAGCCTTTTCTTAGAATGTTCGATTATTGAGTACAACAAAAAGAAACCCTTGGCAAGCGCCACATCCATGGTTAGTAGCGTAGTTGTCAAAACTTCAGATCGAATTCCCTAAATCTCTTGAAAAATCTCTTCCGTCCGCTGAAGACAATTTCTAGGAATGCTCCAAAGCTTTCACTGCGCTTCCAATAATAACAATAATGAATGAACAGAATGGATTATGCATCCCACGTTGATGTTGCTCACTCGCTTTCATCGGCCGTTCTGATTCATCATGTTATATCGGCGAAGCGTGGATTGAAGCGAGCGAAATCAATTTACCGAAACCTGCTGAGTATGGTGATGGACCGTGCGGGCCATTCGAAGCCAGATCGTAACGTTTGTGATGCCTTCGCCGCGGACTTGATGAACCAACGGGATCCGCACCCAGCCTCTGGTCGTTAACAGGTTCGGCACAGCTACCTGGTGTGGGGGTGAAGCTGGAAATAGACAGGCAAGAGATTGTAACACACGCCTTACGTAAAACCAGATATAATTTACCTTTTAACTAATTAAATCAAACACGTGGTTAATTTATATCCGTTGATAAGCGCTTGGTTTTTATATACGGTTCCTGTCATTAATCAGTTACACTCACTGATATCTTACTACTTAATCATAGCTCAGTTTTGTAGATATGCTTTCTCTTGATTAATGACCTTCTTATAGAACGCATGACTGTTTTGCTTCATGGCATCACTGCTTATGTTCAGTTGCCTCATTAAGCTATATACCTGCATTAAAATGAATCAGCTGGTGAAGGTAGATAATGAATATATGTTTCACACTAATATACCAGCGTGTCTGTGAAAGTCTTTTCCAATGTAAAATGAGTTAGGGCACAGATAAAAAGATGTGATAAAAACTTGGGACCTATACATGGTCATGCACATCATATACAGGTGTGGCAGGAATGGCAGTCCTAGGAATGGAAGTCCGGGGTTCCGATATGTTTAGTACAGGTTAGGGTAAGTCGGAGTGTTGGGGTTAGTATGTGGGACGAATGTCACCTGTACAAAGTGTTGGGGAACGGACTATGGTTTCTAGCAGACTACCATTCCTGTCACACCGGCTACACAGATCATCACAGCATCGTCTGCCTGTAACCTTGTACATAGCACAGCCGTGGGCACTGCGTACTGAATGACATGATAATGATTTATAATCAACTGAAAGTTTTCATAATCATGGGAAACAATTAAACATCCTGGTATCCTCCATACAGCAAAATTTTATAGGTGGCGATTTGTGGGGGAGCAAACTTTATAGATAATCGGGGACGGTTTTAGAAACTCTGAAATATTAAATCTAAAGTGCTATAACGCAAAATATCAATCAAATAACTAAAAGCTGAAATATAATACCGCTAAGTCTGGGAAAACTAGGGCATGCTTTATCAACTCGATTAATAACAAAATAATTACGTCGGCGCGCACTGAAAAGTACGAGCGCAATGCGTGATCAAAATCATATCAACGAAAAGCTGATCAGATTGAAAGTAAACATAAATTCTTATTACACTGTGGGTTTTGCATTGATGACAAAATATGGTCGAACAGCTCCAGATATAGAAAGCAAATACATTCTGGCAGAGAGACAAAACTGTAGTCGTTGGAGTCTCAGCTGAGAAAAATTTATCTTACCTTGGCAACCGACGCATGCCTCCAGCAACAATAATAGCCAATTACCTTCGTTTTCAATCCGTACAGAAATTACGTCATAGGAGTCTTTGTAGTGAATAGGTAAACTGGGCGACCTTTACCGTTAACTGACATTTTAACTATTGTCTCCAAGTCCGATTATTATAAGTTCTACCAAATATTTTCACAGATACCTATAAATCCAGTAGAATGTGGGAGTACTTAAACCTGTTTTTTAGGCTACATGGAAAGTAAAGGTTATTCATACTTAAAGTGAGCCCGTCTCACAGGCCTAATGTAATTTACATTTTCCTCTTATCTAAATCCCTTAATTGCTGCGCCTGTTCTTTTATCTTATTACTTTGAAAAGCCTCCCTTTTTGCCTGATTACGGCTACAAGTGATACATCTGATTTTTTGTCAAACAGGAGCATAAATTTCATGTATATAACTGAAATAAAAAGACCAAAGCTGAATACGCCAAGGAATCTATTCTTTTCACTGATCCGGTTATCAGTATGTGTGATCTAGAAAGACAGATATGAAAGACTTTCGACGATATTAAGACACCCAATCTACGAAGATCAAGATATCGGATTTCCATCTGAAGTAAAATTTGCACAAAACCCGTTGAATCAAAAAGACAGATCTGTACGAAGTGACCGGGCAAAGTCGACTACCAGCTAGGAAGAACACGACAACCTCAGGTGTTTTGAGAAAATGAACACCATTATGGCCCACTCAGCTAATGTACATTACGATTACGAGGGATTTTAGTCTTCTGTGGCGTATCAAACTTCCTTTTAAGTGTAATCCAGAGCTCAGTGCTCTCAAGTAGGCAGTCTTATTATTAAAACTTTTTTAAGACAACTCACTGTAAGTATGACAGGCGCGTTTAATGTATTTGATGAGATAATGCTATAAGTGAATCCTTCGTGTGTGGATTATAGAACTTAAGGTAGCTGTTACACCTTCCTTTAGCTCATATTGTGACATATCTATGCATACGCACGCACATACACACACACACACAACACACACATTCAATCGGGATTAGTTTTAAATTTCGAAGGAAGGACGCCTATGGACGGTTCACAGCTTATTACGGCATGGCAGTTGTAGCAGCACACAAACCAGAGCAGAAACTCATTTTATTCAATAATATAAAACCTACGAGGGTTTTAGCTGATTCACGTATATCCCGTGAACAGTATACCTTTGGTCGTACCTTGGGCAGGATTAGAGTAATACTTGCGTGTCTGCATCGAGTACTACAGAAAGTGCACATTACTAAATATCTTTCAATACACAAAGGACCTGCATTCTTTTTCGCCCTTGAAAAAGAAAAGCTCAACGTTGGTTTTATGCAGGCTAGGGTTTTGTATTACAAAATTCTATAGGATTCGCGCGACCTTGCTGCTAAAAGAAAACAAGGAACAAAGATGGTTACAAGATGAAAACAAAAATCCCGATTTTCATTATCAAAATTGTATGTTTTTGTGATTTAATGAAAAGATAAGGGATTGTGAAACAGCTTCTTCATAAGGCATTCAACACTCCTAAAAATCAAAGGTGATATCTTATTGTGACCTAAGGGGAATCTGCTTGTATTCTGAAGCTACACACAACACATCAATGGGACTTGTTTTCAGTGAAGCTGGATGACGGCGGTTTTTGTCAGGACATTACGTTTTTTTTTCACCTGACAGGAATCGCGTAACAAAGAAAACAAATAGGAAGGTGATTGAATCATCTTGTATAGGAACATCCTATATAAATGTAAGGGCTTTGAACATCCCTGCCTTGCATAATGAATCGACAATATATCCTGCATTGAATTGTAGTTGTCTTTTACTTGTTTGTAGACATAGATATATACAAACCTTGCTTCAAGTATACATAAACAGTTCCAAAACATCCTCAAGTTTCGACTAATTATCACATAAAAGTCCCACAAATGTATCAAAAACAAAGGTCCCATTTTGTGTCTACCATGGTGGGCATTTTCTGTGACCGCTTTCTCCTACTGTATAATGGTGACTTTTACTATTAATATGGAAGAATTTGACAACAAACATAGGGCATTACGTAATTGAAAACATATTCAAATTTAGAAAATGGCGTTATTTTCTGTTGGTGAGGTTTTCGGATCATGTCGCCACTTCACAAATGTATTAACTCAGATTGTTCAGCTGCTAGAATTCAAACGACTCACTCACGCTGCCTCAGCCGAATTTAATATTGATAAGTCACATACTTCTAGCGATTTACGTCATTTTTCTATTTCAAAAATAAAGCCATTTATTTATTTTCACCAGATCTTTGTTTTCTTTTTGTGGGCTATTCACATATTGTCTAAAGATTTAAACGGTGCGTTGAATCCGGTGAAACTGGCATGTTTCTTCGAATATAAAAGGCTAAGAGTTCATCTATTAGGGTCAGTGAACCCTCGGCGTTTATACAGTTGTTGAAATTAAGTTACTGCCTCTTTTCACGAGCAAAGCCCACCTGTAGGCTAGATACATTAAAATCGAAGTTTTTATGGCGCAATTTACTGCAAACGGCAGGGGAAAAGACCAAGGTCGGCTATCTGAAATTTATGGATACAAGCCTAAGCTGTGTCTCGTTTGCCTACAAGTTATTGCTGATCGTTCTAATAGTCCCTAAAAGAATTCACTTTCCTATCTTACGATAGATCCCCAGTACCCTCTACCAGGGCCACAGATTGATTTTTCACTAGATATTAACAGATATGTCTCTGGTTAAATAGATGGCTAATCTCTGCACTGCCTAAGCAAAAAATGCCCACATAATAATAACTGCGGCCCTGGTAGAGGGTATATCCCCAGTATGTCTTCAGTTCCCATGACTAGTATAGTATGACTCGAGATGCAAGAATATGATTTATACACTGTCAGAAACCATAGTCAGCTCCAGTAATAGTGACTAATGCCGTGAAACCCTATTAAAAAGGGTGCGACGTAGGGATAGCCCTTATCTGACATGTTTTGCCAAGGTGCTACACAAAGAATGTGAAAATAATTAGACAGAAGTTAAATAAGCGTTTAAACCTACCTAGCCAAGTTAGACGGTGAAGGTCATATTTTCTCTAATGCTGCATGACATGGAAAATCCCTCTTAGGTGATCATATCCTTAATTATGACACGTAATATTTTATAGCCTACCCAAGGTCGAAAAGACGATTAAGGATTGCACTTTAATGACAAGAAGCCAAATCATAAATTTGTTAGCGTACTTGCCGTTCCTGGCTGAAGACCACCCGAAGCAGAATTGTGGTGCTAAACAGCTTGAACATTCATCTACAACAAGAAATCCTTGCAACGCTTCTCCGTCAATACTCTAATAATTATTCAGTTTGTTTAAATCATCCACAGAACATGTGCATGGAAAACTTGCCTTCCTTCTACTGTTTTCCTAGGGCTTCCGATGAGCTTTACAAAATATCCGTGATTCAACAAGACGAAGGGAACAAATAAATTGTCCTCTCATCTATATGTCTTTGGTCGGCTTGCCCTTTGTTAGAGGAGCACCAACTTCCTTGCCTTTGTATTCAAAGTGGCTCTGCGCCACTACAGTATGCAATACTTGACTGCGCGCCCTGCGGCGGTTGGGAAATGACAGGGCTTTACTTAGCGATACCCATTTATAAATAGCAACCCAAGCGGTGAAATCCGACACTTAATTAATCGATAGAGCCTAAAAATAGCTGGGGCCTCCGGCCGGCGCGTCGCGTTATACATTTAATATTTTCATCACGACTAACCCAACGTGTTTTTTCATTCAATGATATCTCGCTGGTGCATTATCATTATTTCAATGACGGGTAATAAGATTAAATTCCCTTTTTTGACGATGTGGAACTCCACGGATGAGCAGTAATGTGGCAACTTGAAAGATCAATAAACAGATAACAGCTTGGAAAAGGCACCGCACATAAACAAAAGCCGGGCGTATGACCTTCTAAATTACTGCTTTAGTGAAATTCAACCTTGTCTCGCAAATATAGAAAATATTCATTAATTGCCAGAGCCAATTTCTCTAATAAATATTCTTCAATCTATTATATTGACCGCTGAGGCGTTATCTTGCTGGTATTCATATTTAGATCAATATTTCTGTTGTCGTAACAGATGGACTGCAGGCAGCTGCTGCCAAAGTTACAAACGGCTTTCAAATGTAGTGTAGACTTCATGTCTCACAAAAGCCTTGGGCCACCTGTCCTTGAAGCCACGTTGGGCAAAACTTTTTTGATCTTATACATGTACTGTATGCTCATGTGCAGTGCATTATAATTATATTAAATCATACATCCCTCATAGAGTTTTATGAATATAGGCTTAGTGAATTATAATATATAAAATATTGTACATTGCTCAAGTATGTAATAAACGTTGTCTATAAGTTGGAAAAATCATCCCCTCTTTACTTCATATTTTATTTGGTTTGAGTTATTAAAACAACTGCTTGCACTTCCTTATCATATCAAAATGAAATATGTATTAGCGAGCGAAATGGTGGCTTCAAACAATATTGGGCATATGCAGTAACAGTGCGCCTTGGTGAGAGTCAGACAAGTCAGTCATAGGTTTTACATTTTAATTAATTAAAAATGTACTTTGAAATATGAAGTAACAGTGCGCCTTGGTGAGAGTCAGACAAGTCAGTCATAGGTTTTACATTTTAATTAATTAAAAATGTACTTTGAAATTGAATTTGAAACTCTTGCACACCTAGCGATATTATGATAATCGTATAAGGCCGTTGCAAGTGACGTTATGAGCAACATTTTACCTCGCGAACCGGCAAGAAGAGCCCAGGGGCTGGTTTGGCAAAACCGTTAAACTAACAGCCCCAACACTGGTCTAAACCTTTGGGTCCAAATTTTTTTCTACGTCAGCAAAAGAAATCCATAGTAGTCCACTACAGACTACTATATAGTATGTTATACAGTAAGTATTGGTCTGAAACATTAGCCACGCCTCTCCTGCTATACTAGGCGCAGCATTCATTTGGACTACTTCCGATCTATTGTGAAAAATGTTACAGAAATAAACACAGAAATGATTCTTTATGCATATACATAAATATATCTGCTCAAATGGAAATATTGTCATTTACGGGAGTAAAATTGCCTGCTTAATGTGCATAGTGTAAGATTTTCCCGCAAAAACTCATCCCATCGAGCTCGATTTTCGCGTAGACGGGTGGCAAGATTTGTCAGGAGCTGGTAAATTTTATTTGTTTATGCAACATTAATTTATAGCATTCATCTGTGAAAAAATGATTTAAAAATATTACTTGTCGTCAGAAAAGTAAAAGAAGTACTTAACGTGTGTTTAACATCCTATATTTTGTCACTTAAAAAACATTCAATTTTCTCCTCTTCTCCGCTACATGGCATAAACAAGCACATTATAATCACATACCTCGGAAGCCTCAGCTTCGAAATATTTCTCCGATCCCTTCGGTCATCTGCCATAAATTGTGAAATCTACAGGTGAGTTCTATCATAACTCCTCAATTTATGTCAAATTTTGATGGGTTTGATTTTTTTACTTTAAAAGTGACAGTGGTGCTATTAACCTCGCAGAGGTGGGGTGGTCACGGGTGTGAAAAATAAACTACTTCATTCACCTTGTATTGCATGGAAATGACAGATATACCTGATACCCAGTCTTTATAGTATCTCTTCAATCTCGTACGCATGTCACCTGTTTATACAATGGGCTTCAGACAAAACGATGAAACTAGCTGTCACACTGAGCTTACAGAAGGAGTGATGAGGATATTGTATGTCAACGACTAACTGCTGTATAACTGACTCCTATCAACTGTCAACGCTCATTTCTATTCACGTGAAAGACAGTGACGTTTTTGTTTGGACCGTACTACGCGTCTCCACCACATTTCCCAATATCACAACTGAGACCAAAAAACTCTAACTGGGACACATTTCTTGTAAACGCGTCTTTCTCTTACTTATTACTTGGTACAACATAAATAACAAGTCTGTGCATTTACTAACCTTTAATGTAGACAATTCTACATTTACTAAGTAATTCAAAATTCCCGGTCCTAAACCGGGATGACTAAATTTGTGAAGACGGCGTAATTGTTTACCCTGAACTTCAGGATTTTGAAACAAACTAGTTACATTTTGAGTCTGAGACTGCTGGCTTGGTTGATTTATTTGTAATATTGGCTTTTAATTTCCGTTCTGTAGCACGTTATTGCTTACGGTTTTTACACTTATCATTTTGACACTTGGTTTCCTTTTTCACGTCTCTCAAACGCGCTGAAGTATGTGGATAAAACGACCAGTCGTAAAAGGTATAACATTTAACTTAGGTCAAACACCGAAAACCGAAACATCCGGAAATAATCAAATTATTGCCGAATCATTAGATCATTTGGGATAAAATCCTAGTCTAAAAAAATCTGATTTCGATCGGTAGAGACCTGCGGCATTTCATTTTATTCATTCAGTTAGTCAGTCAGTCATTCATTCGTAATTTCAATATTAACTTTATCTGTGCACAAGTCGGGTTGTTTCTCTGTACTAGCTTGATGCTTTACGAAAACCAAAGAGTAAAAAAAAAAAAAAAACATCAGTATCTGATAAATGTACCAAAAAACGTTTAGCAAAGTGCACTGCGTTAATAGACTTCTATCGTGCATTTTTTTCTTTAGTGAAACCTGACGATAAGACCTTTGAACTAATCAAAAGTAATAATCACCAAACAGCATGAAGCTAAAATCCGTATTTAGTGCACGAGGACACGTGTCCTGTACTTTGCACCAGAAGCCCTTCTTGGTTGAAGGACCGATTTTGTAACAGCCCGGCCGATTTGGTAACAGATAGAAGAGCCTCTGACAGAGATTTTGTGCCCTGCATGCCCGCCAACGCCCTTGTGATTTTTTTCATCATCATCAGCATCTTGCGCGCGAAGTCCTCCATTAAAATCAATCATTTTGACTTAAAAAAATGTGATTGGGGCATCTCACGCTACAAAAATTGGCTTATCCATCAATTTTCTCGCAAGCATGCAGACCACAAAAGTCGTAAAGTGGCCTTATTTCAGCCAGGGTTATTCTCAGGTCTTAGTTTCCGTTGTCACCGATATAGAATGTTATTAAAGAAGGGAATGAGAGAAAAGGCATCGATGGCCCTGTTGTTTTGAGAACAAGTACGGAATTCTATTAAAAACTTATTTTTTAACCATTAAAAGATGTTTGTTTTAAACACTAGATTTGGAGACCTACGAAGCAAATAACTAATTTAAATGATACGAGTAGATACCGGTAGGACTAATTACCCAGGAAATTGGCCCACAGATTTATCTTTTTGGGTATGTTAACGACTTTGATAACAGTATAAAAGCTTGTTCCAGGAAATTCCTAGAGATGCTACTTTCTCAGACAGAGAAGAGTAGGCCCTATGTAGAGGGAAATCATAGCTTTGGATTTATTGGAAAATGTTTCGCATTCGATGGTCTTGCAGTCTGAAGATCACCTACTTCAAGGTATCTTTGCATTCGAGTATTCTTTCAATCCACTAAGCTTAAATAAGCCTAAATGCAAAGGTCCTGAGTTTTTGTCTTAAATGTAAGCACTTAACTAATTTAAAGCTATAAGAACTGAACAAGTATGAAAATCATCGTGTTGTTTTGTTCATGCTATAAGAACTGATCAAGTATGAAAATCATCGTGTTGTTTTGTTCATGTCGTACTTGATCATTTTGGAGTCTCCGTCAGTTTATTCAACTTAAGACAACTAGGTTTTCAGGTGCTCTTATGAAGAATATGCACTTGCAGTGTAGAAAAGAAAAAAAGGGTCTTAAAAATGAGTGGTAAACTGGCATTCCTGTGACGCCTTAAAACCTGCCACTACATAAAAGCCCTACCAGAGTACATAGAAATAAATTAATATAAAATAAATAATAGGCTAGAGAAACCTAACATAAAACAAAAATAGAATTATTTCACATAATTACTTTGTCTCATTGTTTTTTTTTTTTTTTTTTTTTTTTTTTTTTTTTTTTTTTTTTTTGTATTAAATTTAATGGCATTAAATTTAATACACAAAAGAGAGAACGAACCAAAGATAATTAACTGAAGAAGTGTAGGCCCCAACTGGGGTAGGCCTACATGTAGGCCCTAGGATTAGGCCTACGTGTAGGCCTACTTGTGCAAGAGAATAGAATTAAAAATCCGATCGCCACGTGTTACATAATGGGGAATGGTAACGTTCTTGTTCACCAACGGCTAACTTCAGACTAACGTCGTTATGAATTCTTAGAGGATACAGATGTCAGAAAAATCTTTAATATGGAATATGCACAGTGTTAGGCCTAGCCACCTCTCTTTTCAACTTCACATTCAGGTATTTAAACGGGTAAAATCGCGTCATACAGCAAACGCATTGTAAAATTTTCATTTCTATCATGATTTAAATTAGCCGTAGCAAATATCACTAGGTATTTGTTTGATTTTGCGTCTGGATATTAATAAACGTTACTTTACTTTTACCGGCGTCTTCAGCACGTTGGCAGCAATTTCCGGGCTTATCGGTGCACAGTTGTTTACCTTTTTCAACATGTCTACCGTGGGTGGAATGTTTTCGGCAATTCTATTAAAATTGGATTTTTCGAAATAATTGTGGAGCCAGTAAGGTAATATTACGTTTAACATATTGTTCCTTATCAATGTACTGGTTGATAACAATTTACGCACTAAATTTACTTGCGATTTCTTAACGAAGGGCTATGCTCCATGACCTAGTGTCGATCAAGTCATCCGACCACAGTTCTAACTCTGTGCACATAGACAGTAATGAACAAATAAGAGACCATCATTAACATGTAATTATATGCCCAATGTAAATGACATTTAAACAATTTGAAACTTTCTGTAAAATCCAAGGCTCTGGAACTTTGTTGCTGTCTGTCATAGACTAGTGACATGTATTATGACAGTGACATATGGCAGTTTATCATTCTTGTGTAAGAAAAAAGCCGTTGGTATGATTGTACTTTACATTCAAAGGGTATAATGATGTGTATAAGATAACTTCTGGAAAGTGGTCACAAAATGGGCAGCACCCATGATCTGACTTAAGCATGGAAATTCATGCGTTCACACTTCTAAGACCTATTTACATTTGCTGATATGTATGATATGAGCTAAATCATGAGAGATATAGGTACAGATAACTGTACAATGATGTCTAGCTGCGGGTGTACTCAAATTTTTTGCCGACTTCTCACTGCCTCAAGTGGCACACTGCTAAAAGCCAACCACCTCTACCGACAACGACATTGTGTGTAAATTATGTCATGGTGAAGTTGTACAACCATTTAAGATGGGCATGAACAGAGTTCATGATACCTAAATTAGGGTGCTAAGCTATGAATTTCCATGGTAACCTGACCAGAGACGCTAGGATAAGTGTGTATTTTCTAATTAAAATACCCTTTTCATTGTCTTCCCACATAGAATTCCATTTCCAAAGGTAAAATAATGTCAAAGAAAAAAAATTACTCTTAGAAGCAAGTTAATGCAATTTTTTATACTGATAAGATTAGAATAACATATCCCTAGTTGACAGTGGTAGATTTAAAACACTTCCACACACACATGCATACATGCACGCACGCACACATGCATGCACGCACGCATGTACACAAGCATACACATGTATACACATGCAAAGAAAGAAATTAGGAAAGTAAATTTGCAGTTACCTCTATCAGAGTGGCTGTATGATGACATGGAACATTGTATAATTAGCAATCTCAACCTCACTTTTCTTTTTTCTGTACTTTCAGATATATAAATAATAGAGCAGCAATATTTCTACAGTAGACCACAAATACAATGGCCAACCCCAGATTCCCCGGTCAGTTCCCGGGAGGTATGAGCACTGGCCAGCCACAGCCAGGGTTTGCCCCCACCATGAACAACCCCACTTTTGCTATGAACAATCCCATGATGTATCAGCAGCAGCAGATGATGGGCATGGGCATACAGGGGTTTGCTCCAGGCATGATGCCAGGACAGAACCAGGTAGATATGGGGCCTTCAGGAGTTTAGAGAAAAAGAAGAATTTAGGTATTAAATGTCAGTTTAGTATCATTAAGATGCTGCGTAGATCAATTTTTATGGTTGTCAAAGTGGGCTTGGAAATTGATTTTTTAAGACAGTTTTGGTAAGCGGTTATGTCAAAGCTAATTTCCAGTTGCTGGTGAGTGCATAATCTACACCCTGTATGAATGGAATATATGTATCAGAGAGAAAATCATTGATTGGCTTACATTTAAAGTTCTTTAAGACACGAATAAGAAAAGTATGTATGTTTTTTTAAGTTAATGTGAACATATATCATCTGTTTTACACTTTTAATTATTTATTTTGTGTGCATGTTATTTTTCTTTTAATTGAGATGTAGTGGACGTTCTTTTCAGAATTCATGTTATCTATCTGACTGAAATATAAAAATATTGATATTTTATCTCAAAATGCCCTAGATCTCTTCCTACAAGCTAAGACCCACCTCTCCATCCATCTCATATATAACAAACAGACACCCATAAATAGACTTAAATGCAATAACCCTGAAGAAAAATTTTGAATGCAGCGTCATTAACCCATTATTCGAAGCTTGGTCTCTATGTTGAAAATTCTCTTATCTTTTCTCCTTTTAAAGATTCTTAAACAGACCTAGAATATCCTTTGCATTGCAGCAGTTAAGTTATAAATAGGTTTTATTAGGCTATTACTACTTACCTATAAGAGATAAGCACATGCAGGGACTAACTGAGAGAGATTTCCCTTTGTTTGAAGTTCTGATTAAGTTTTTGTGAGCTCTTTTATATGCACTTTTTTTAAAAAAGATTGGTCTGATATTTTAGTGTAGTCTTTCTTTGCATGGCAATTTTCTCCTGAATTTAAGTTGAATTGTGTTTATATTACAAGACCACGTCTTATTTCATGGCTCCAGTTGTTTATCACTGCTGTAGTTCTGCTTTAAAAGATAACGCATGATTCACGAGTGAAACTGGATTTCATCCTGCAAAACTTTCATTTTGATTGAAATTTGGTTTGTCTCTTGATTCCATAGAAAACTAAAGGTTGAAGACTTTGTTACATGATACATTGTTAAGATCATGTTACTTTAAATTTATGAAAAAATTGAGAATTTTCATTTAAACATTTCTTTACTACTCTATGGTGAAAGTTAAGGCACACGTGTACATGAATTTTCATAAACATGCTGTTTTATTATGCACAGCAATTGACCAAGTCATATTGGTAATTGTTGAAGTTGTTTGATTCTTGAAAATAAGAGAACTACTGCTGTGTATTCAAGTAGTCAGCCAAGCCCTTTCATTTAAAGAAAGTCGGCATTCTCTTATTATGAGCTTGAAACAAAAATCTCCCTCCTCTTTTTAAAGCACTACATACATTTGGTACCACTTGAGAAATGCATTTGATTAAAATGTTTTTCACAAGGATAAAAGCAAAACATTAACAGCATCATTTCTTCTATCAAAGAAAATGAATGTCAAAGTCATACCTTGGTAACTGTGATTAATGGTACTGTAATATATTTGGTAAGTGAATTAAGGAAGATCGATGGAAATAAGATATATAAAACTATAATATTGACATCAAAATACTATTTGCATGGTGATTAAATGGATATAAATGCATATTCTTATACCAGCAACACTGTGGAAGTTTCCCTACTGCTTTGTTTTCAGGTAAAGCAATAATTGATTATAAATGTAACTGAAAATCAGAGCCTGAAAAGACTCTTGCCTTCAGGCAAAAGTAATTGTAAGCCCTTTCTCTGTTTACAGTAGTATTAAAATTCATCATTTCTGGTGACATTAACTCTTAACTGCCTGCACCAGGAGCATTGTGTAATGTATAAACTAGCCCAAAATAATCAAATGTGTTACACTGATAAAAGGGTAATACCACCATACTTATTAGGATATTCAGCCATGTTATCTCATCTTTTTAGGTGAAACAGGTGAATATGAATAGCTGAATAGTTTAAATTTAAGTCAAGTCTTAGTCTTTGCATGATTTTTCTTAAAATAATTTTACATTGATTATTTTGCTCTCACGAATATGGCAATTTCAATTGATTATTTTGCTCTCACGAATATGGCAATTTCAGTACAATTTTATACTCTAAATTACTGTTTTAAGGGAGTATATTCCTTTCAGTTCCCAGCAGATGTTTCACACTGTACTAAAAGGCAAAATAATAAGTTGATATCATTCCCTTTTTGGAAATACAGCAATACTGAAAAATAATCGACTCACCATTTGCGTAGGAAAATTCAGTAATATGTGGTACATTAAATTGTCATCAGACCACAAATCTCTAACATAATATTTAGTAAATAAAAAATATATATTTAGCAGTTTGTGGTTTTGTTATCTGCTTCAGTATACTTCTTAAATAACCACAACCTCTGCTGGTAAGATGACAGCTGGTCTGCTAGCTTTCAGAATGAGCAGATCTGCTGTTCTTATGCTCATAATTATTTACATACTGTAACTGACACATCTAAAAACTTGTATATATATATATACAGTTTAAGATTCACATAAATTTCACAGATAAACATGAGCTTCTGTCATGTAGGCACGTAGACCTTCCTCTTTTGATTTAAAGTTGATTTATTTTTTGTCAAAGAAGATGAAAAATAATTCATTTCTCCAAAAGTTTTGACAGAGTTGTGTTAAAAAACTTGACTCAGCTGAAAATTTTAATTTATTAGTTTGGTGGTCCAAGTTTTACATCTTGGAAGACACTTTGTGAATGTATATAACAGTCATGTTAAGGCAAATTTCCGTTTGTCCTTCAGAACAATTCTAGCCAAAGTTTATGAAATAGGAATAAGAAATAATTTCTCAAAAGAACAAGTATGTTGTTGAAGATAAATCACATGAATAAAATGACTAGTTGATGTAGATGAAAGCACAAGGTGGAGGAGAAAGTCATTACATTTCTTACCTCCCAGCCAGATACCTGAGATGATGAAAAATAATTTGGCTTTCTGTTCTTGATGGACAATCTGTCTTGGTTTGAAAATGAGAACAGTCATCTGTGTATTGCTCATTTTATACCATCACAACTTGTTGTCATATGCTTGGTCAGTGGTGTTTGGTGTTTTGTTGAAATTTTCTTTTGCCAGAATTTCAAGGGTTTTTGGGTTTTGTGCATTGACAGATGGTTAATTTGTGGCTTCTTTGGGTTTTGATCCTGATCAAAAGGTAATACAGTAACCTTGTGATACAGCTGGTATTGAGTACAAATAGCAATGCCCTTTAATAAAAGTACATGTGTTTTTTTTTTATCACCGAGTAATTGGCATCTTCTTTAAGGTTTATGGGTGTTATATTCAATGTTAATTAATTCACAGGATATACACTTTGCTTGAACTGTCATACCTCTAGCCCTTGGCTAGATTTGAAGGTTAATTACTTTCCAATGAAAATCACACCAAGCAACCCCTATCCCAGTTCCAGTTTAATGACTTTCTTTATTTCTTTATAGCATGTATGGTCACTTGGTCAAGTTGCTTTGAGGTTGCCTGTGCTGTTACAATTACAGCTAGAAATATATATTATATTGTAGATGGATGTGTTAAAGTGAAAGCACACCTGTACAGCCTTATATATAACCAAGGTTGAATCAAAACACATCCATGTTTTCCCAACAGATAACATTATTAAAAGGACATGAATGCCTGGTATCATGTTGCCTTCTCTGCTATTCCTCACAAGATGCTGATCAGGCCACAAAACCTTTTATCTGTGACAGTCAATAAAGAAAGTGCAGCACCCATGCACTTCATCTGTCCTCCTCCCCAATTCCCTATCCCTTTTCTCTCACTCTCATGCCAACTGTTGCTGTCTTTCCAGGAAATTGCAGAAAAGGAAAAAAAAATGTTTTTTTAGCGGGGTCTTATATCTTCCTAAGTATCAGACCAGTGTGTTTGATAAGCAACTCTCTTCCTCCACACATGCATATGGGTGCGCACACACTTGTAAACTCTCTCTCTCTCTCTCTCTCTCTCTCTCTCTCTCTCTCTCTCTCTCTCTCTCTCATATATATATTTACAGTGTAGGTAATGGTTTGGGCTTGAAGACAGGCAAATTATGACTCCTAAGATGGAGATAGGAGACCTGCATCTGCAAGAACATGCAGAATATTGTCTTTACCATTTGTGTATTTCAGGTTCAGTATTAGGTGGTAGATAGGTTCTTGATCCTCAATTCTCAAAAGAGAGATGCCCCAGAGAGAGATATACCACTTAGGTACAGATGGAATTTCACCTGAATTTCAGGCTACTAGTATACTAGTATACATAAATGGGGGATAGAAACCTTGATCAGATATAAGGGTGGAACAGCCACAGGGACCTCTTTCAAAAAGAAGCACTTTTGTACAGACAGTAATAGATAGATAAGTGCCCCTATCTACAACCAGTGCCATGGAGGTTTGTGTGAATAAAAAAAGCTTTCAGTCATGTTTCCAAATGAGTTTCAGGTATTGCAGCAAGAGAAGGGAGATAAGAGGAACCCCCACACTTGTTTCACCTGAATTTCAGTCTAATGGAGATGCATTACAATCTTTCCCACCTCTACTCCATGCCCTCAGAGATTTACAGCTAGGGACAAACATTCCTTTCATCAGCTGTATAAAATATGGGAGATGGAGATCCCTCTTCACTCTTAGATTTCTGTTTCAAGGGGAAACCTATTCAGTCATGCATTCATGTGGAGTTCAGGTGTTGAAATTATTCGCTTTGTTCTAGATAATAAAATCCATGTGTTCAGTTTCCCAAATTGTTGTTTGTAATACCACCCTCCTCCAAACACACACACACACACACACACACACACACACACACACACACACACACACACACACACACACACACACACACACACAGTTCTGAAGGTTCTGAAAGGCAAGTTTGATTTATTTCGGAAAGTATATTGATGAAATATCTCTTGTTAAATTGAAATATTGGAATAATAAGTGATGTATATTTGTGTGTAATTGCCATAGGAGCCTACTCTTCGGTTCCCCCACGAGACAGCCTGACAAGATCTCTTGTGTTTTTAAAAGCCTAATTTGACCATTGCAAATATTCCATCAAAGAGAAAAACACTTGTTCAATCAAGCATTTCACCTGAATTTGAGGTTATGATAAACACATGAGTTAAAATGTATTCTGACATGATGATTGCCTTAGAAGTCAGATTATTCCTGCTGGGTGCCCTTTGTAAGTCTCCTTGAAGCTTCCCTTCTGATGCCAAGGCCTATCATTGTTATGTACCTAATTCCCTTTTGTTTTGCATAATGACATGATTTATTCATTGATTCTGGGATTAATTGATTGGAAAAGTCAAAAGATTCAAATGTTTACTGAATTGTGATACTATTGCTATGTGCTTTATCTCTTCTCATTTGCCAGCTTGCATACAAATGCTTGGGACTAGTCTTTGCAATAGACTAAATCTACATCCTTTTTGCATGATAACAGAGCAGTGCATTCCTCACAAGGGAAATGTAACAAGGAAAAGTTGAGATTTCTATGCAGCGGCTGGACAACCCGCTGAATTCCTTGAATTTTCCACCCTGATACAGGCCACTGTCATCCACAAGGAAATACACTCAGAATTATTCAAAGACTGAACTGGTAACTGAATTATGAAGCGAATGAATGTTATCTAGTTCTTTTTCTAGTCTTTCTTACAGCTTCCTCTATTTTGCATGAGATAAAAGTCTTGGATTGTTCACTGGGAGAAATGATAAGAAAGCCATGGAGATTTAACTGGATACTGAATTGAGATGCTGCTGACTGGGTCTTGCTGGAAACACCAATTTTCTTTCATGCTGATCAAATTTAGGGATTTCTCAGTACAACAAGAGATCAATGCCCCAAACCATCCCCCCTGCTAAGAACATAATCTTGAACAACTTCTCTGTAGTGCTGGTTGCAGGAAAGGGCATTGCCTTCCCATAGGTCATGTTATCTACTTTCCTGGAATCAAGAACTTTAGTAAAGATAAAACTGGCTTTGTATATCTGTGATGATATAGTACGTGGTTGAATCTGAATGACTGTCTTTAAAAAGTGTATTATTTTTGATCTTGTTAAACCTAGATTCAGGGTGTTTTTTTAACAAGGGTCACTTTATTAATCCCAAGGGTTACTTTATTAATCCTAATATTATATTGATGGAAGTTTGTTCAAGAGTAAAAATTGCTTTAATGAATGTAATTATTTTTATTTTACAAGAAAGTTTTAAAAGAAGGCAATACAGTTTCTGACTGTTTGTCCAACATGAGTATTTCACATTAATTATATGAAATAAAAATATTTTTTCTTCCTCCACAGAGCACCACATGTAGCCGAATTTGTTTGTATGCTTTTTTGTACAGTCATATACTTTTGGCCTTGGCCACTAAAGAGAACTTTTTGATATTATCTCCAATGTTGTAAATATAGATTTTTTTCTCTATTGACAGGCTGGATATGGTGTGCCCAGATATGTGCAGCCCCCTCCCTATACACCCCATATGGCACAAAACTACAGACAAAGGTGAGACATACTAGGTACTCCAGTGATCATAAAAATCTGCCTGTTAAAACACAATTCTGGATGCATTGAATGTACCAGTGTTCCTGATCATTTAAAGTGATCTGTTTGTTGTAGCCACTTAGCTAAAATTGCATGTAGATTGATTGCAAATGGATATAAATGAGTCATTTTTGCCAAAGCAATTTTCCTAGACCAGCTGTTAGAATATAATGGTCTAAGTAATTCAAAAGTATTACCAGATTAAAAAAGCCAGCATGCATAGTTGCATAAGTGTCCTATGTTATTAAGGGATGGGGTGGGCGGGACAGCCTTGCATCTTGATTTAGTGTATTGCATCCTGGATTATCAAACACCTAACAGGGTATCTGCATTACTAATAAATTTCCTCAAGGTCACTGAAGTCTCCCCCCCCCCCACCCCCAAAACCAACACCCACCACCCATTCCCTTGTTAACAGATGTTTAGAAGTTCTGAAAATATTAACTGATAGGACTGTATGCAATGTACTTTGAAAATGCATTATTATTTGGTGCATTATTATGAGAAAATATGAAATATCAAATAATGGTAGACTGGGGAACTGTGATTTGTGCCAAATGAATAAAATCATTGGTTTTGGTCTTATCTATGGTTTCTCATTTGTGTTTCAAGATATTCTTCATGTTTTGTTCCAAATGTGCTGCCATTATCATAAAAAATGCCAAAAGCCAGGGCTTTCAGACATCAGACTCCTAGACCAAATGAGTCATATCATTCTTAATGAGCAGGAAGAGACACTTTTTTTCCTGAAAAGATTGACCTTGCTTTACTCCTTTCCCATCTGCGCTATCTCATTCTGATTTCACACACATTTCCCCCTGACTGATTAAGTGTATTAAATCAGTCATCTAAGTCCTACCTCCTACCCACAAGTACTTTAAGCAAGATTTCCATAATTGTTTTTTACCCAGCCAGGAAAAAGTGCTCTAAGCGCTGCTGTGATTGCACTGGTCACGCCATTAATTTGTGAACTATTTTTAGCCTTGGATACTGTCTATTAAGCAACCGCAAGTCTGGTTTAAATGACCTTTTCACTTTTATTCTACTTTGTTGTCAGATATTTCTTCTGGAGGTGAGCAGCATGGGATAAAAAGCTATAATTATCAACCCTACCTCAGCTCCGTAACCCTTTCATTTGTTTGGTTCATACCATTTTAATGTGTAGAAAATTGAAATGATTACAGTGCCCCTGTGGCCCAGGGGTTGCTTTATGTTTTGATTCAGCATGAGCCAGTTTGTCCAATGACAATAATTGAAGCAGTATTGTTTCTTTGTTTTGCAATATTTTAAACACATTGGTTTATTTTGATAAAGTTTACTTTGAACATTTTAACAGTTTTCTTTCTGGTGTTGTTAGTTCCCTTTGATTTAATTTGGAAATATAGTGCAATTGTAGCCGTCTTAAGTGTTAGACAGTTTCTTACTCTTGTTTAAATCTAATAAAAACATTTACTTTAGGTGTTGACTTTGACTTTTTCCCAAATGTTCCTAAATTCAGAAATTGAAATGGGTATTTGATACAAAAGTTTAATTTAATGAGCTTCTGTTTGTTTTGAAACTCTTGGCACTTGATTTATTTCGTTTGTATTATATGAACAATTTGATGTTACCTTTGGTCATTGCCATTCAATTTGTGCATGTTTGTAATTACATTATCTAATTCACTTGCTTTTAAGGGGTATGTATCTTAAATGTAACACCAATGCAGTTGAATATAGTTCAAATGTTGGTTTCTTATGAATAATTTGGCCATATCTGAATTAAAGGAGTCTTTTGCTCTGGCACACAAAGAGAAGTAGATTGGATATCATACACTCTTCAGGGTGTTGATTATTTTTGTGCCAAGTTTTATAATATTAGCATTGATATTAATAAGAAAATTAGTTTGTGATACAGTGTATGAATTTGGATATTCTCTTTTAGAGTTGCAACTCCTAAGACTAGGCATAATGTGCCTGTGAAAACAGAAGAAGAAGAACGAAAAGAGCGATATTTTCAACAGCAGCAACAGAAGCTGAAGGAATTTGGGAAGGGAAAAACAAAGACTGTGGATGCTGACAGTCTGATGAAGAATATATTTAGCACTGATTCTGCTAAACCAAAACCACAGAAGCAGCCACATCAACCAAAACCTCAGTCACAGCCACAAGCTACAGATGGTAAATTTTAAAAATTGCACTACCATTAGTGGTTATTTTTAAAACACTGTAATGACTTTTAGAAGAACATAAGTACAGTTTTTTTCCTCAATAATTCTTAGATTTTCGTAAATGTTGGGATGATTGATTGTTTATGTGGTTGATAAATGGTCAAAATATTGTACTTAAGCATTCAACTCAGAACTACCACATACGTTTATTAGTAGCTCTGGGCACAAAAGTACTTTTCAATTTCCACAATATTGCTGCAATCAATACCTCTTTGAATCTTTTTACGTTATAGATTTCTACAACTGTTGAGATCGGTTTTCAGAGAAAAATTTTTTTTCATAGAAATATTGTGGGACTTGGATCATATATGTTGATTAATAGCCAAGATATGTACAAGTAGCATATCATGTTCTACCTTTGGGGTGCAGCTTAACTTCAAAGTTGTACAAAACGGTTGATTCATAAGTTGTACAAAACAGATTAAGCAACAGGAAAATATGTGATTTATCTGAAGCTGTAGAAATTAAAATTTTACCGGTATCACAATGATGAGCCACATCCACCCTAAGCATATAATGTTTCCACTGTATTTTTCCAAGTAAGATATGTACTATGCAGTAAAATAAAGCACACAGATGACAAAGAACTGCAATTAGAAATCTTTTTTTAATGATTTGTAAATTAGATGTTCCACGAGGAATTTCTTTTGAATTCAGTGCAGGACACACTGATATGTGTTTTTCAATATTGATATTCAAAAATATACCAGATTATATTTCATTTTTACTACAAAAGCTTTTCACTGTAATGTTATATATGAATTTTAATTCATTTTATTTCCTTCAGATTTTGGTGATTTTCTTGGTGGTCCATCATTCACAGATAGTACTACTCCGTCACTGAACCAGAGTCAAGGTCAGGATCAGGGTCAAAATAAAGGTCAAACACATACTGTTGAGAATTTGACAGGTCAAGTTCATGCTGTAGGTCAAGGTCATGGTCAAGATCATATGCAGGGTGAGGCACAAACTGTGCAGCCTCCAATGCCCCAGCCAAAGAAAAAAGGTATACGGTGATAAACATTCAGTTTATTGTTTAAAAAGGGCTAAATATCATTTCCTTTAAGAAAAATAGCAAACTTTTAAATTTTCTGATGAAATGGAAGAAGTAGTGTCTACACACTGATACCATGTTTACCAAAAGCATGAACAATGTAGTTGTATTTTATGTCTGAAGGAGTCTTTTCCAGTCACCAGGCACTTAACAATATTTTTTCTTTCATTGTACTATTCTAAATAGTGTCATAAAGCATAAGATCTGGAAAAGAAGAGATTTTTTTCGATATTTGTACTCTTTATACTGTCAATGTAAGCGTGCAAGGACACTCACTAAGTGCAACATACACTAAGTGCACTAGTCTTAATGTATGAGTTTAGAATGATGGGTATGGCAATAACATAAAAAGGAATTTTGTTTGAGTTCTTTTAGTCCATGATTAGGAAGGTTTGCATGATAACATTTTCACACATATTTCAGGGTTAGAGGATATGATGAGGGAATGTTCTGATCTCAGTGCGCCTCAGAAAGCCAAGACATTCAAAGGTCCCTCTGTGAAAGAGGTCCAACCCAAACATCAGGCCAAGGTGGTCAGTTACCATGAAAGTAATAAGTCCAGGAGCTGGCAGGCCCCAGAAGATGAACTGTCCAGTTTGTTTACACTCTCAGGTTAGAAACGCTATTGCTTTTCTTTTATTCATGTTAGCTAATGCTGGGCTGGTGACTGAGGACATCAGTTTAACCAGGTTAGATCTCATTTAACTTTTCCTATGGGAATGCACGGCCTTCAACCAGCAACAGATAGTCATTTTTATTAATGCTTCAGGGCAATAAAAAATTACCCAGAAAACCATTACTTGGCTAATTTGTACTTGGTGCATGTGGCTCAGCTTCCTGTTTACACAGTTACATGACAACCCTCTGTGATCCCATTTGGATACCATGATTACCATGAAGTTTGTTCACCTCGGGCCTAATTTAGACCAGAAATCATGGTTATCATGTCACCAGGGGAATAAAATAGTGGTTTTATTGTCTGAGGTGCAGTGGGGTGTCTTTATAAATGTAAGCCAAGTAGTTTAAGATCAGAACTCTGAGAAGTTGTCTTATCTTCCATATTGAATGACAAGGTTTAGGCCGAGGTGTATAATTCCCAGATTATACAATCTGGTCTTCTGATCATAGAATTTTTTTCCAGTTTAAGAACATCTTTTGATGGAACAGTTACAACGGGTCTTAAGTCTAAGCCTAGAATACTTTAGGGGACATTACATTTTTACTGTCTTAATCTTCTTATTTTATTTATATAAAGTCTGTGTTTTAAGTACAAAGACCTGTCACATCCCTTTAGAAATTATTTGATGAATATCCTCACCCAAAAATTGCAACTTTTAATGAAATGAAAATGCAGTGATGCATATAACACCCTTTCCCTTACATATAGTTGTTTTGTGAAGTTGAACTTGTCTGGTAAAAATTGAATCTTGGACCCATCATGGTGGGCTCAAGATTGATTTGAACTGTTCAGAGTGAGTGGATAATGCATTGTCCTGCTGTGAAGGTATAAATATTAACATAAGCTGTCTGAGCATGCTTGAAGGTATATCACACCCCTAGTGCTAAAGTACATGTTTTACATGAACTATTTATGCATAAAAGGTTAAAAGATTATTTGCCTTGATGTAGAAATGATTTTTGAACTACTGATATATGAATATAGATGATATATGGACTTGGTGGTTGGGAAAAATGTTTTCATATGTTTTGTCTTCACATGGAGATGATTGTCAAAGCTCATTAGATGATGACAACACTGACTTATGTGGTGCCATTCATCTTTGTCACTAAAGTTGATTGTGTGACTGCATTAAATTGTATCTTGTTTCAACATTCCTCACTTTGTAGCCTTTATTAAAAGCATAAGAGGATGATTATTTGCACCGAGAGTGTTTTCCATCCATTTGCTTGAATTTTGGGAGTCCCAACCAGTAAAGATTACTATCTCTGTCTCCATATTTGATCTTGCATGTGATATTTTTTGCAACTGAAGGAATTTAAATTTTTCAAACAGTACATGAACTTTATACAATAGTTATCAATCACAAAGTCCACTTTATTTTGATACAAAAACTCACCACATTTGCCATTTAATCAAATTACAAACTAACATTTGGCAAGTATTTCATGTTATATTAATGTCAGGTTTGAATTGGTATGATTTTAAGGTTTTCTACATAAACTTTGTACATATATCAAGCTGGTTGGTTACTTGCCCTGGTGTGAGACAGTTCATTTTAATATAAACTGTCAACTTTAACTTGACTCCGGGTGAGGAAACCTGGTGGGAAAGTGGTCTTAGGGTTAGACAACCTGGTGGGAAAGAGTAGTTCCAACATAAATTGCCCAGAACATCTCAGAGTTTAGCTTTTCACTGTCAGTAAGGCATTGCCCTAACCGTAACCTATTCAGATAAGCTTCTTTGTATGTATTATCTCCTAAAAGCTTTGAGTGCAAAAGATTAGCTAATACCTCTTTTCTGTCTTCTATTTGAATGCTATGGTGCTGCTTATATAAACAAAAGTTATATATATTCTGAGGTACATACACTGATTGAGCAGCACTTATAGAATTACTTTTAATCTAAATTAAAATGTTTTTTACATTTCACTTTTTTTGTGCATAAGAATAACACCACCATATTATATAAAATTACATGACAACCACACCAGATTTGATGGTGGAACAAAGCACAGGCTCTTGTTTAAAATGTTGAAAACATACTTCTGCTTTCCAGAGCCTCTTCCCACAGAGCCACCCAAGACCAAGAAAACCACCCCTCCCAAGACTAGAGCAGGCTCATTCAGAGTCCCCAAGTGGTGCACTGATGATAACTTGGTTCCAGACCTGTATAAACATGTGTTGGAGGCTTCAGTTGAGTAAGTATAGTATATATATATATATATATATATATATATATATATTTTTTTTTTTTTGGGGGGGGGGAGGTACCAATTCTCCACTGTCAGACCAGACCCCTGCTTCAACCCCTTAGTGCTGAATGCCAAGTGGGGAGACGGCAGCTACGGTTTATAAAGGACTGGTATGTCCCCGCATAGGGTTGAACCCACGTCCTCCCGCTCTGGAGGGGGACACTAATCACAAGGCCATCTGGTCGGTTATCCTTTCCCAAATATTGCAGTAAATAAAAATAACAAATGAAAAATGAAATATCCCTCGTACAAAAAATTGTCACACATTTCTTACTTTTAATTATGCACAGGTTTAGTGGGAAGATCAGTACTCAATGACTTAGGCCAATGCCATTGGCATTTTACATGAAATGTCAATGACCTCAGTCCTTGACATTTCATGTAAAAGAAAGTACAAGCTATAATTATGGTAACAGTTTGTTTGATACATAACATTCTCATGTATGTTCCATGTTGTTAACCCTGAAATAGGGTGTGTGTGTGCGTGTGTGCAATAGAAAAGTGAATGGGAGCAACTATATATTTAATGATGGGCAGAACTATAATCCTTGACTTTGGCTGTGGACTTATTATGCAATTATTCAAACACTAGCCTTCATAACACAAGCCATAGTGAAGGAGTAAAGAAAATTCTTGTAGAAAATGGGTTTGGACATGTATGGCTCGAACAGAAAGTAGAAGAAAACTTTATAAAAAATGTTAGTGTTAGACTTAGAGACAGTAGTATACAACTTTGGCATAGTAAGGTATCACAAAAAATCTCAAATTGAGGACTTATAAACCTTTTAAACTTAATTTTGAGAAAGAAAAATGATTTGATACAATTCAAGATAAAGAAAAGCATCAAACCTGAACCAAATTTAGAATCAGCAGCCACAATTTGCACATTGAAACAGATTGCCATGTCAAGGGTAAACTAACATTAGTTGAAAAAAGAAAATGCCAAATTTGCCACACTGGAGTTATAGAGGATGAAGAGCGCTTTTTTATTACCTGCCCTCTGTACACAGAAAGGAACTCTGTACATTTTCACCAGCTCAGTCTGGTGTAGAAAGTATAAATAAAGCATTTATTTATTATTTATTATTTTGTCAATTTGTATCATTTGTAACATTCCTATGGTGATTTGTGTGTGTCTGTTGTGTGCATTATGTCTTTCCAAATAACCTTGTTGACAGCAGAATGTTACTACTTTGTTTGCATGCTATGTGAGACGAGTTTATTTTGTGACCTTTGTGGTAAACAACTGTTATCACTCTGGGAAACATCGTCTAAAACTATCTTATGAAGGCAAACTCTTATGAAATCTGCTAGAGAAGTGTTTAGTTATATCATTACTTCTTGGTATCCCCAGATGACACATGCTTTCAAACTGCTGACAGGAGCTGGCAGCTCTACTGTTTATGTATAGACTAAGTATTTCAGGCTACAGAAAAAAAAATCTACCCTACAGAGAACAAGGAAAGTCAATTCTGTGTACTTCCCCTGCTACCCATAAATATTCCAAAAAAACATACGCCATTAGCAATCTCCTTCATTAAGGAGACTGACAAAACCAGTCCAAATGTGCTCCTAGAAATACTATTCCCAAGGGCAGTCTGTATATATCTTACTAGACCTTAGGCTTATGCTCTCCATACTTTGTTTTAGACAATAAAGATTTTTCCGCTGACCCAGCCTCTGCTTAGTACTTTATTGTCTTTGAATGGCCAGTGATCCATGCTTGAAGGTCATATACATCACTAGACTTGAGTAGTCAAAGTGATCCATTTTTTTTTCTCTCTAGCTATAAGATTGACTAGTAGACAAAAATGTGCCAAGAAATATATAAATACATATCCACTTCAAATATGTTATGCATAGAAAGAATATGTCCTACGTGCTTGAACTGTAGTGTATGTCACATGGTAAATAGCTATGGCACCTTCACACTTTTTAATTAGCTCAATATCAATTACTGATTAGCATATGTATAATCTTTTCATTTCTCCTAGTCTAATATTGGTAACTCTGGCTATTAACAATGTAGAGTATTAACATGGTGAAGTTTTATCTCTCCCAAATAATGTGGGAAGAAGCTTAACAGTTTTACAGGTGGAGACACTTACCTAAAGATCATTTTAAAATCTTTTTTAGTCTGTTTTTGTCTACAATTTTTGATTGCTTGGGTTATATATCTATTTTATAGATAATCCAATTTCTGTTTTGTCAGATTAGACTTAAAAGAAGAGGATTTTTCTCTTCCTCAAGCACTAAACCATGACCATATTAAGGGCAGCACTCCCCAAATTGCCAGACGGGAAAGGTTGCACCCCTGTCATTAGGTGGCTGTGTCTGTGTCTGGCCCAGTTCAGTTCAAAGACTCAATGTTCTCATTGACTGGCTTTGGTAGTCTTCCAAAATGACACAAGTGTGCCCAGCCCAGTGTTAATGCAATGATCTCTGAAATAATTGAGCTGCTTTTGACATTTTTCTTCTTGATTAGGGACATTAGGGAAGGTTACATAAAGGCAAACTCCAGGGGTGGTGGAGCTATTTTGGTACTGATGTTGTTGTGTTGTGACAGTTGTAATGATATTAAGAATACATAGACTGCCCCCATTTTGGTAGATTATATATATATATAGGCATTTAGAGGTGTAAACCATTATTTTGAAATCAAAATTGTACGGTTTTGACAGTTTGTCTGGCCTTTGGGGATTTTCAGTCTGTTCTTTGACAGCTTCTTTGGTTATTAAAGAGAAATGTACCAGCTTATTAATCTTTTTTGTACTTTATGACCCAACTCTGTAGACCGTCTGGTCTTTGCACTTAGCATGCTACTGATGTTATTCAGTGCTTTTACTATTTAACATACAGCACCTAATGTTATAGTCTGTAGCTATACACTGGGGTTATCTTGAAGATCCTGTTGTCTGCTTTCTTAAAGGAACTGTCCAAACATTTTATTAGAGACACAGTGGATCTTATCAAGATTTTTTTAGTAGGAGATTTTTTCCCAGGGTCTATACAATGCTTTATCAGTTTTATCTTTCTATATTTATGCCAAAACACATCATTTGATGGGTTGGCGTGATGGTTACAGAAATGTAACAGTACTATTTTACACACACGCGCGCGCGCATGCATGCATGCATGCATGCATACACACAAATTTTGTCATGTGTGTATTATTAGATGCATGGAACATTTGCAAGCTCAAGATACTGGTTGATTATAGATCAATAGTTGTAAATATTTATGACAGTTATGCATTAGAAGTTACAGTGAAATCAATAGCTTTAGAATCTTGTCATAAAAATACCAAAATCTGGTCATATAAATGGGAATATTGTATGATATATCTATTTGATCCTGGTGACATCAGATTTCTTTATTGAATAGGTATGCTACTTATCTAAACTATTAGAGAGTTTTTTGGTTCACAGTTTTAAATAATTTTGTCAGAATAGAACTTTTTACTGATGGCTGCTCTGGTTCACTTTTCATGGCATGTTAAATACAAATTTCTCTCCTTGGAATTAAATCTCAGTGCCCTTAGAAAAAGTTTCTGATTTTTGTAGTTCCCAAAGGCTTTGAGGTCTCGCAGTTAAGAGGAAAATTAGTTCACCTTCAGGACATGGCAAGAGTGATGTCTTCTTGCTTGGCTAAGAAATAAGATTACCCATGTCTTTTGGGATTGGAAAAATTGGATGAGAAAAGTGGATGGGAAGGGATTGATACTGCAATTGGTTTTCCTGGTTATGTCTGTAATAAGTTTTTAACAATTGAGTCCTGCTGAAGGCAACAGACAATGTGATTCATCATCTTATTTGTACCACCGCTTTAGAGTTGGAAGAGCCTTGTTATTGCTCTCTACTACAAAGCATTAACACATAGGTTAAAAAAAAGACAGGCACATGCTGTGTCCTCCTCCTCCTCCATCCTACCTGAATTTAAGTGATTTGTTTCTGTTTGTCAGCTTTTTATCCTTAAGCCAAACATTTATGTAAGTCAGCTACTATAATGTCTAGAGAATTACCTTACCTTCTGTTGCAACCAACATCAATGCATAGAAATGCTCCTTTTTAACTTAGCATCATTGTTAGAAAAACATATAATTTATAAATTACACATAGCCTTAAATATATTTAAGACTAAACACATATTTATTAGTTACATATATTTAAGACTAAGCAAGCATCTCTGTTTTTTTATATTTAATTTTTTTAATTTTTTCATAGAGTCGCAGATGAGGTATTAAGCAGCTGACAAGTCATTTAAGGCTGTGTGAGCTTATGGATTATTGAATTATCCTGAATTATCTTGGGGAGTTGTTTGATAGATATTCTGTCATCATTTTGTCATGAAGTATTTGCTTAGTCCCATTTCAACAGTCTTCAGTGATGATGATACATCAAAAAGAAAAAATGATGAATATAGTGGTTGCATGCCATTAATGATAGATGGCATTTATCTAAATTTTTGCTTAGAGAGTTTTATATATAGAATTTCAGTAATATAACTTATTGAAAGCTAATAACTCTGTACTTTCTTTATATCTGTTAATGCATCTTGCAACACAGCAAATTTGTGTAATTGAATAATATCTTATTTTAAAATTGTTCTCCAGGAAATTGTTTTGCAAGTGATTAAACCAAGTGAAATAAGCGAGAGAAAATTAAATAAAAGCTTAACATATTATGTACAGCAAAATTTACAGTTGATAAGAGAAATCACATTCAAAATTTGTTCTGTTTCAGAAATGGCATCATAGAAACAGGGCGTCTCTACCCTATCCTTATCGGCAGTGGCTTACCTAAGGCAGTGCTGGGTCAGATATGGGAGGTTGCAAACAAGAAGACCCCCGGCCAACTCATCAAAGAGGAGCTGTACATGATGCTTGCTTTAATAGCTTTAGTGCAGGTTAGCAGCCATGGTTTGATGCAATTAATGTCTGTTTTTGAGAGGAAGTGATAGAAAATTGGCGTCTATAAACACCATTAACTGAACACATAGTCAAAGGTTAAGAGCGACTTGACACCAATTAAAGGATATTTTGGTGTTCTGTCTGGAAATCTACAAGCATTCACCTTTTTTATGTTACATATGTTTAAGCCTACCAGAAAAGCGATAAATTCTCTAAATTTTGTTTATTTAGTTTTCTAGTTGTGTTCTGCTATTTTTGAATTGGAAAAAAAGTTTTAGGGTTTCTCATTTTTGACATTGTGAGGCTCTTTCTGAAGAAATATATATGCTTAGAATTTCTGATCTCTCTGATTGCAGGTTTAAGTTATGGTTATATTTTTTAAAAAGCAAAAAAATAAATAAGACAAAACCTTGCTCTTAGTTCTCTGAATTCTTAGGATATTATATCAAAGACGGTGATGGTGGTCACTTGGTATGTGTCTCTGGGCTGTAAATAGTCATGTTTGTCCCATTTGCATATAATTGCTTTAGGGGAGATGGCAATGTTAAGAACTTTCACCTAAAAAGGAAGAAAAATGAGGCATGTGCCTTGATGTTATGGAGGTCGCCTGGGTTTTGTTGACCTGTAGGCTTTGGATATGTTATTTGCGTGAATGTGACTTGGCAAAAATGATATTTGACATACACATCTCTTCATCTCTATTATAGAGGTAAATTTGATTAAAATAAAAAAAAAAAGATGTGGGTTTAAAACTTACAAGGTTTACATGATGCTTCTGGCAAATGTGGGTCCAACCATGCCCTACCTCTTCCTAGACCTGCCTCTATATTATTTCCTCTGCTTTGTTTTCAGAACAATGTCCATGTGCTGTCATTGTCCACTCTGGAGAAGTTACCACATCCTCCAATACCATATCTAGGGCAAGCAGCACCACAACCTGCATATCACCCTAATGCTGGTATGTCATATTGGAATATAGGTTTCATTTTTTTTACAACAATATATCACATATCTCTGATATGCACAGAGGTCAAGCCTTGTCTGTGTGTGTGTGTGTGTGTGTGTGTGTGTGTTTTTGCATATTTTGAAATTCCTAAGTGACATCTTTGATAAGTAAAACATAGTATTACATATAGGTAGTCACAGAATACACTGTCATAGTGAAATGCCTTTGACAACAGCTGAAAATCAATACTCATGGGCAGAAAGGTTGTTAATGTGATATGTTTGAAAATAAATTTAAATTGAAGTGGTATAACCTTTTGAATTGTGTGTACTTAGATGCTCAATATCTCTGTATATAGAAATTCAAGTGTTTTTTTTCCCTCAGGACAAGCTCCCCAGCAAATGCCCCCTGGTTATCAGACTCAGCAGATACCATCACAAGTACCCCAGGGTCAGGCCCCATCCCATGTACCCCAAGGACCTTCTCAAATCCCCCACAGTCCCAGAGAAATACCCCAGGGATTAACTAGTTCAGGGACAGTGCCAGCAGCTACCACAAATATCAGTCGCATTCAAGCCACTGCAACAGGGGATGATGATTTTGAAGATTTTCAAGCAGCACCTAGCATTCCATCACAGTCATTGCAATCTGTTCCATCCCAAACACCATCACAAATACAGCCACAGCCTGCAGTATCAGTGAGCAGTTTTGCACCTTTTACAAATCAAGCCAAGCCCAATCCTCCCACCATGCCTCATTCACAACCTGTGTCTTCTTCTTTGGATAGTTTTTCACCTTTTCAAGGAACTACCAGTCAGACATTCCCTGGTTCTGTGAACTTAGAAGTCTCATCTGTAAAGTCACTGCAGCAGTCTCCAATAGGGGGCAGTGCAGTGGTAGAAGGAAAAGACGATGATTTTGAAGCATTCCAAGAAGCTCCTAGACCAGCTTCAGGCAAGTTTTTATTATGCTGTTTTATTTTTTGTGTAATTTTTGTTTATTTTTGTTCTGATGAAAAAATACCTTCTGCCTTTCATATTCCAGCTGATATAATTAAAAGATATTTGAGTGTAGGCAAGTCATTATGAAAATTGATATGTTGTCTAGTGCTCTCTCTGTATGCTTGTGCATTGCATTTGATCATTTTTCTGTTTTTAAAAGTATAATTCTTTATTTTAGGTTCTTTTGGAGACTTCTCTGGTGCAGAACCTGAGCAAATTAGGTTTGTTAACATCTTGTGTGGTAATTTTATAGACTTTTTAAGAAGAAAAAATCATCACAAGTAGTATTGATTAGTTGGTGTTGGTTTCATTCATCTGTGTTATTTCAGAGGAATAATTTTGATATGTTTCTCATGTAAAAAAAATTATGTTTTTAGTGCCCCCCAGAATGCAGCACCTCCTGGTGTACGGCAAGAGATGAACCTGATGGCTACAGAGGATGACAAATATGGTGCTCTAAGAGGACTCACCTTGGAAGGAGAGACAGAAACAAAAAGTAAATATTCATTTTTTTTTCTTTTTAAGCAACTAAATATAATTTTTTCTTTACTTGAAAGAAAAAAAAAACTAAGGTTCTGTTGCCAGTCAGTTATTATATCATTTTATTTGCGTATACATTTATTTGCTAAATTAATGTACTTAAATATCATTTTAAAGTGGACAATGTAATATAGTAATGAAGTCTAAATTCTTTTATGTTGATTGTAAAAAAATCTATAAAGATTGGTAATTGCTCCCTTTGTTTATTTTTCATTTATTCCATAAGAAGAAGAAGCAGATGAATTTGCGGACTTCAGGTCATCTTCTGATGACCAGGGCACAGTGTGGACAAATCCATTACCAACCAGTGAAGGCTGGGGAGACTTGACCAGTTCAGGTTTGTATACTGACCAAATGGTCTGTCTGGTCTTACAATAATCCAAATAGCCATTTAGTTCTGAATATAGACAATTAATACTGAAGTTCACTGTCCGAATTATAAATACATCACTTAAGAATAAAGTGGACATTGGTATTCTATTCTTCTTCAGGAAACAGTGCAGTACACAAATCAGAGGGTTGGGCAGCATTTGAGAGTGCCACAGCCCAGACCAATACAGGAAGTGAGAGTGAGGGCTGGGCTGAGTTCTCAATGCCACCCTCAACTGTGCCTGCAAAGGTCTCAGATCTTTCCCAGCCTGAAGGCAGTTTGAACCTCTTTTCACAACCTCCATCTTCTCAAGCAACACAGCCACTTGGAGGAGACAGTATGGATCTTTTCTCTCGGAGTCCTGCGACTGGGGCTGATTTGGGGGTCAGTTTGGGTGGACCGTCAAACTCTACCAGTGACCAGTCCAGCTTAGCCACCAGTGAAGTACCCACTGATCCATCACATTTGTTTGCATTTTGCAAACCCAAGCCTAAGGCAAAAACTTCAGGTGGTATTTTTGGTGATAGTAGTGGAGCACAAAGTGACCTCAGTCTACCCCAAGATGGCAGTGCAACGGTGGATGATGATTTTGCAGACTTTCAGGATTTTACCTCGAGTGCTTCAGTGCCATCTAACAGTAACAGTAACACTGATCCATCTTTTAGTGCTTTAGGAATGCCACCAGGAGGCTCTGCAGTATCCACAGCTGGTGACCCTGCTGATAAATATAGTATATTCCACCAGGTGGGTGAGGACACTTCATACAGTAGTGTATTTGGTCAATCCACGATACCAGAGCATTTTAGAAGCAGCGGTGCTGATGGTACTAGTGATGATGAGTGGGATAATTTCCAAGCCCCTCCATCATTGTCAAATACAGCCATGGGGACAGACAAGCCAGAGACTGCTCCCAAAAAACTGATAGCTGTTAAAGGTCTGGTTGACAGTGTGGTAGAAGACAAGGAGAAAGTACAAAAAGAAAGGGAAGAGAAAAAGAAGGCTGAGGAGGAGAGAAAGAGACAGCAGCAACCAACATCCAGGTATGTCGGTCATATGTCTGTTTACAAACAGAGGATCCCTCAGCCAGTCACCATCCCAGCGTTTGATACTGAACCACCACCCTTGACTGATGATGACTTTGGGGAGATGTCCCCTGGTCATAATGACCACTTTGGCCATCCTGTCCACCATCATCATGCTGTAGTAGATGTGGATGACCATGATGACTTCACAGGATGGACAACGGCTGGAAAAATTAAGAAAGAGGACAGTCAGTCTGTAGCAAGTCTTGAACTCGCTAAATCATCAAGCCTGTCTGTGATAAAACAGGAAGACAGCCAATCAGTGTCCAGCTTGGAATTTGCTGCAGGAAAGGCATCGTCCACAAAATCCAGTGCTGGCGATGATGCTTCAAACTCCAGTGTTGATTTTAATGGCTTTGACTCTGGAAATAATAAAGTAACAGGCACACCTGATGAACAGTCAGTAGGAAGTTTGGATTTGCAACCTACAGTCTCCGAGGCAGAGATCAATGATGCTGATGACTTTGGAGACTTCAGTTATCCCAGCCAGAAAAGGCCAGAAAATGTGGCACCAAAACCTTCCTCAGATTTTAGCAGTGTCCTCACCACTAGTAGAAGTTTCCCTCCTTCAGTTCAGCAGGACATTGGTAAGCTTAAATTTCTTATTTTACAATCATTAAGTACTTTTTTCGTTATATTGCACACATGACTAAATGGTATGTGATATTTAGAAAATATTTATTTAGACTTTGTATTTGGTTTTCTACTGTGTCCTCTGAATCCAAAAAGCATGAAATTATTGGAGTGGACAATTTCAAGCACTCATTAATGATTGTAAAAGACATTTTATGTGTGAAACAGTTTATATTCTTTTGAAGATATGTTGATTGGAGCTCACCAAGAGATAAATCTCCTCTAACATTTATATATACAATGTGTACTGTTTGCAGATTGGCATACTGTCCCACGCTCTGCCAGTGAGATCCTTGCAGAGAGTGGTGGAGGACCTGGGATTGGAGACAGGTACAGTGCTGTCATGGAGGAGGAAGTACAGGTGAAGATAGGTTTTAATGAACTTTATTTTTACCATGAAATAAGAGGACATTATCAACTTTTAAGGAAAATGAACTATACAGAACATTCAATATCTCTTATACATGGACAAAAATGTTATGTGGTATATTTATTGCAGGATAAACATGCCCATGAGTGGCAGAGATGCCTGGAGAGCTGTGACCAGATGATTGCCAGTGCCAACAATGTGTTCAACTCCATCAGCAGTTCCTCTGTGTGTGTGGAGGTCATCAACTCAGAGGAAGGCATAGATTACCTCACAGGTGAGTTTTTTAAAGTCAATTTTCAGATTGTTCATTTTTAGGTATCTTTTTTGCATTTCATGTGAAATATCAAACTGAAACTAATATGTGAAAATGATCATGAGGAGAAAGTGCATTATTCAACAGTTTGATTTTCTTGTAATTTTTCTATTTGATGGATTTTGTGATAAAATTTTTCACACATCTTGACTAAGGTAGAATAAAATTAAAAGTCTTTGGAGGAAAATATAACTTTATCTCTCATGCATTTGATATTTCAGCCACAGCATAACTTCATGCAACAATCTGATATGAGTGTCAAGCTTTTCATTCTCCATATTGCACATTAAACAAATCCTTGTTCAAGTGTTGTGGATACTTGATACATGACAAATATTTTATTCATTTTTTTAAACACCAGTTATTTAGTATTTGTGTATATACTTCAGGTGTGGTTGAGATCTACCGTGTTGTTTGCAGGATATCTTGTGCCATGAAAGCCTATAGTAAGTTAATTACTGACTGTAAAACTAAATTATAAAATATTTAAAAGGTGTTACCTTTTAGTATTTTTACTGAAATTCTGTGTATTACACTTTGAAAGGTTAATTATAACATTAACATTCTGTGAGCCTAGAAAATATAGGTCGAATTTAGTTTGTTTCGTACTCAATTTTCTCTCTCAGGCATATCAACATCAGAGCTGAGACAGGTCTTGAAGTCAGTTGACCTCAGCTGGAACAATCTGTGTGCTTTTATCACTGCAGCAGGCAGCACTATCATGGTAAGGTGGAGTTGGCAGGCTTTACTCTAGTCCTGGAGTAATTTATTTTTTATGAAAAAAGGCTGAAAAGGCATTGCATTTTGTGTAAAATGTTACAAAATGTCTCTCATTTCGGCAGAGATCATGTGTTAAGTTGGGTTTTCCTATTTTTACAAAAATGTTATACAGAATGTTTGTAATGAAGGCAAATGTATCACTTTTTTCAATAATTTTAAACACAATGTCATTTTGGAAAAAAATATGTTCCAAGTAAGTGGCTTTTTTATTTTTTTATTACCTTTTTTATTATGATATTTCATGCTTCAGTCTATATCTCTACCTTTCTTTCATGAGTTCTTTTATTTGATGTTGTAGACTGACAACTCCTTCAACTTTGCTGGACACGTACTGAAGGCAGAGGATGAAAATTCCCAGGACAAGGCTTGTGGTGTTTGCACACTGAATGTGGATGGCAAATCAAACATGGGCGAGGATAGTTTTAAACTGAGTTATGGTCGCAGGCAGTATCATGCAACTTGTGCTAATTTCTGGATTAATGCTGTGGACTCTACTTTACCAGCCTTGAAAATCCCAGAGCTTTTGTGAGGAGGGAAGAAAGCATAGCCGTAATTATGTATCTATATGTGATGATGAGGGAGAAGCAACAGCCAAGGAGATTCATGAACATTTTTTATAATCAGGAGCCTAGTCACCTTCATGCATGTTTTAGTTATGCCATAAATATTATTGAAATATTTGAATATGTAATTTTAATGATTAAAATTAATTTTGGTAGGATAAAAAAAATCATGTGTGTGCATATTTTTGCTTAACTTTTGGCAAAATGCTCAAATGTGCATAAAAAGCTATACTACACTTTAGCTTCTGCAAATCTAAAATATAGGAATGATTGTGAGAATTTGGCAGTTTTTTTCCACCTGATCTTGATGGTTCAATCCCTACATTCCAGTTTGATCAATAATTTGTATTCTTGTTTGTAATTTTTATGCCAAATGGATAAAACTGATTCCTCTTTGGAAGTTGGAACCAATCTTTTTGGAAATAATTTGAGCGATATGTGGTAAGTTAGTTGTGAGAATAAACTTTTGATCTGTTGTTTTCAACTTAATTATAATTCTTTAGATTATGTGAAAAGGAAGAACTTTTGAGACAAAATGTGTGTGCTTAAGTCTGGCAGTGCATTATATGTGTGGTAACAGTATTACACTTTAACAGTCATCAGTTTTAATGACACTATTAGGTTCTAATAATTGAACATGCAGTTTTAATTTCTAATAAGTTCTAATAATATACTAAGTTCTAATATTATAACAAGATCCTAGTTTACCAACTTGAGTATTTGCATTGTTGTATGTATCATTTAACACCCTTACCTGCTCTTTACACATGTCAGATTGGAGTCCTTCTGCGCTTCCTGGTTTCAGATATTGATTGGTCCACATTTGTGGTATGATCAAAAGTATGGGTGCAAATCAGATGTATGTTTCGATAAATGAAAAAACGTGCAATATGTAATTGTTAATTTATGTCAGTATATTTTAGATTGTTTTGTGATGTATGGGTCCAAGCTTCAGTAATAAACATGTTGTTATTGAAATGTTTTGGTTATTTGCATTATTCTCTGTGATTGAACAGAAGAATATTTGTTCACATTTCCCCCTTATATCTTAATATACCTGAGAATTGAAGTAATTCAAATGTGATGAACCTTATTCACTTTTATTTCAATTTTCCCCCATCTCTTTTAATACACAAATAATATTTATATTTACACATATATACACTTTAAACACCAGAATATATAGATATTATATACATATTTACATGCATAAACTTATATTTCTATAAAACTAACTACTGTTATTAACTGTAAACTAATTTCAGGAAAGTTAAGAGTCCATTCTATTCTTGAAATTAGAAATAAGTCACTTCTTGCGTAAAAAAGGCGTCGATTTAACCAGGTCTTAGAGATTCACACACAGACTAATTCGTTTTAAATGAAGATTGTTTCTTGAGGCCAAGAGTTGGTTGGTGTGTGAGTTAGACTGGTACTCGGAAGTTTAGCAAGGTGTTTCCACTTCCTCTTCGCTCTCTAGAAAAAAATGGGTTATTATAATTCACATCTTTCAATCTGTGGACGAGTAATTGAACCATTTTAAACAATAATCTATTACCAATACTAAGAATAACAGCAACATAAAAATCAAATAACTTTTTTATGTATCATTCATAACTTAAGAAAGTGTGAAGCACGCATATATTTACAATAAATACAATACCACACCTTGCTCAGCTGCCTCTTTCAGTGCGGCATTTCTGGCCAGCTCGTACTGGCAGGCGATGGAGGGAATCCACTGCCTGAGATACGTTGGGTGCTTGCAGTATTTTCCCTTCATTGCCGCCTGGGTCTCGGCACATGGTGGTTCCCGTTCTTTTGGACGAAGACCTTTATGGGGAGGCGGCTTATACCATATCCCTGGTTCCATATAAGCAGACTTTGCAGTGGATACTGTAGCTACCCTAGGAGTGCCGCATTCACTAGATTCGTAGCTAGTCTGGCTTATGGCGGGAGAGGAGCTTCTCTTTAAGGGACCAGGAGACGCTGATCTGAAGTTGAAATCTTCCTTGGCTGTTTTCTCGGTAAATCTGAATTCTACTTCCTTGAAAGTATATACTGTTCTTTCTGAAGTTGGACCCAGTTTGGCAGGACTTTCTGGTTTGAAAATAGGAAGACTGTTGGTACTTTTCTGCACATTAGGTTTAGTGGTATCGACGCGTCTCGCAGATTTTGCTGTTGGACTTTTGTTGGTCTGCAATTTTAGAATATTTTTTTAAATCACCATTTGCCTTAATTACAAATTGACTGCCAGAGGTACATAAATAAATGTCCTAGATTGCAACGGCTAAGCGCATTCGTTGCAGCACTGAGTTGTAGTTCAGAGTCGTAGGGACCAAATTCTTTGAAAATTCCATTGCGTAATTTTTAAGCATACCTTTCTGGTGAAAATAAATCTAACCGTAGATATATCTGCCGTAAATTAATTTAACTACAGAAATTCATAATTTCTTTGTCACAATAAGTAATGTATTCCAATATTCTTGGTACATTTTGCCGAAAAAGATTTAAAAGTGTACAAAACTCACCAATTTATTCAGGCTGACAATTCTTTCAAGGGGTGCGTTTCTCAAAGAAACAAGTTGGTTCTTTGATTGACTGAAAAAATGATATAAAGCATGGTATATTTCTAATGTTAGTAAGTGACAGCATGCCGTGAATAAGAGCGGGGAGTGTTTAGTAGAGTAACTTAAGTTGATTGACATGCTCTTATGGTATTTATACAATTGCGCTTAGTGTAAACAGAGAGAAGGCCGCTAGAGATTGCATGAGGTAGAAATAGAAATGAAGGAAGCGGCGCGGGTAATAACTGGACAGTAGTTCAATAAATAATAAGAAAGATAATATCTGAGTTGTATTTGCTACCTCGCGTAACATGAAGAAGACAAGCCAATAGCTTCGTCACATATTTTGCATATTTCAACACCTTGTCTAGGACTCTTAGAAAATTTCATTTACTTCGAATCATGAATAAAACAGTCCTACCAAGAACAAAAATGAAAAAAGAGAAAGGGAGAATTCAATTACTTTTCAGATCGTTCAGCCTCCAGTTTATTCTGCAATGAAGCCCCTGGTGTTTTACAATCGTCACTGCTTGATGGTAGACTGAAAGAACATTATAAATCATTATTAGATAATACTCTTTGTCAGGGTATCACATAAAATGTGTACATAAAATACATGAAAGGTTTGGTTTCCAATAACGAATTGGTTTTAAACGCAATTTGAATAATTGGAGTTAAGTTACCTCAGTTGCCTCGTCTTCTCTCTTCTGAATGTCTTTAATTGAAGATTTGATTCATCCTCCAACTTTTTTTCTTGCTTTCTACGAACCTAAAAGATCAATAAAAGTGTTGCACAACGTTTCGTCGAATTGAATTATGATGACAAATATTTTATTATGAATATTACAGTAACACATATGTTCCGCAAGCAAATCATTTTTCCTCTTATTGAATTGATTGGCCAAATTTGCCATATGTTGTTATTAACTGGGCGTGCTCTGTCTACATTTCCTAAGGTGTGATATGGGATCATTATTCTTATGACACAACATCAAAGTACCTTCCCGGTTTTCTTCTTGGTTGCAGTTTCTTCCCTTTTGGGTTCTACTTTCTCACAATTTTCCACCGCAGTGGACCGATCATTCGTATTTGTAATTGGTGCCTGTAAGGGTCGGCGACGCCTTCGTAATCTTGACTGAATGTAAGCCGAAGCTGCTAAAAATCTTTCGCGAATGCGAATATTCACAGGTAAACAACAAGCCATTGTATCTGAGTTGCTATACTCTCTGGTTGCCGTCTTTGCTGCCAACGTCACAGACAAGCAAAAAGCTAGATACTCACTTGTGACGTCATACAGAAACTTTACGTCATGTGACACAAGGGAGAACAATACGAACGTATGCACGTGTATCTGTGTGGGTGAAAGCGTAATACTTTTTCCGTCTAAACTACTTAAAGAATGAATTTATTTCAAGGCGTCAATTGGCTGGCATAAAAACAGTTGTATGCATAAATATTTTTCAAATCTTTTCTGATTTGGAGATATCTCTGGAGATTTTACGTTTTTTTTTCCACTGGTTTCACACCAACTTGGTAATTATCACATTATAAAAAGAATATATGCCTAGAGATGTTAGGTGACCGTAGAAGAGTACGCTTTTTCGGTTTCAGGGGTGTTTTCACGTGAAATGCGAGTACTTTATCTCGGTATCATTCACTGCCACCCTTTAGCCATATATTTGCTTTGAACAACTCTCTGACGTTCGAAGTGTTCTGGCATGATGACAGTGTATTATGTCATACTTATATCCTTAGCATTTTTACAAAATGTTTGTGTTTTTTCACAGGCAAGCTTGTCTGTGTGTCTCCCTGCGTGCGTAAGTGTGTTACTACCCCTTATAATATTGTGGGTTTTCTTCACCCCCCCTGACACTTTTTGTGACCCATTTCCTTTTATTACTGCATATGCTTTTCATATCAGCATCATTTAATAGAATAATTTATATGTATGATTGTTGTATATCAATTTCTTTCCCCTTATAATACACCCAAGAGATGAAACAATACAAACTTAATATAGTGTTATCATTACTTTAATTCACTTGTCTTTACATTTAAGTACAAAAATTATGCTAATGTTTGCACATATATACACTTTTTACAGCAAAACATCGAGATATATACAGACATCATATATACATATATAAATCATATATCTACAAAACAAACTACTGTTGTAAACTGTTAACAAATTTCTTTCAAATTTATTAACTTATTCCATTTTGAATGGAATCATTTATTTTATCAAAAGAGTTGGGAGGGTGAATCCGGTCTTTTCAGTCAGAAATACTTCTTGCGCAAAAAACGTTGGTTTCACCAGATCTAAAAGATTTTATATGTGTGCTCGTTGTTGTGCACACAGACTATCAGCAGTTTTGAATTCGTACAATGTATCTCGCTTTTTAAGTTAATTGTTTCTGGAGGCCAAGGGTCAAAACGCCAGTTGGTGGATGAGAAAGAGTGGTACTCTAAGCTCAGCAATGTGTCTCTTCTTCCTCCTCGCTCTCTAAAATAAATAAATAAATAAATAAATAAAAAAATAAATAATAATAATAATAATAATAATAATAATAATAATAATAATAAAATGGATTAACATAAGTCATATCTTCAACTCTGTGGACTCATACTTTTAAACATTTTAAACGATAAGCTATTACCGATACTACAAATCAGGGGCGTAACCAGACCTTTAAAAATTGTACGCACTTGTATTTCTTTACTGAGGGGGGGGCAGAACAATTGTGCCTTTACAATTGATACAGAGGATTTGTACATACAGGTGACTTTAATAAGCAGAGGATTTTCTTTTATATTCCGTGAAAAATACACTAAATTTATATAAAATAATATCATGGTTGGCCAAAAAATTGTACGCACAGTGCATCCGTGCGTATGCCTAGTTACGCCCATGCAAATCACAGCAACATGAAAATTAAATAACTTTCTTAATTTATCATTTATGAACTTATGAACAAATGAAACAATCACATATATTCAAGTGATATGACACACACCTTGCTCAGCTGCCTCTTTCATTGCGGCATTTCTGGCCAGCTCGTACTGGCAGGCGATGGAGGGAATCCACTGCCTGAGATACGTTGGGTACTTGCAGTATTTTCCCTTCATTGCCGCCTGGGTCTCGGCACATGGTGGTTCCCGCTCCTTTGGACGAAGACCTTTATGGGGAGGCGGTTTATACCATATCCCTGGTTCCATATAAGCAGACTTAGTAGTGAATACTGTAGCTACCCTGGGAGTGCCGCATTCACTAGATTCATAGCTAGTCTGGCTTATGGTGGGAGATGAGCTTCTCTTCAAGGGACCAGGAGAAGCTGATCTGAAGTTGAAATCTTCCTTGGTTGTTTTCTTAGTCAATTTGAATTCCACCTC